GCTCCCTTAACTGGTGAAGGGGTGAATCCCGAGGCAGCAAGGCTTGTGGGTATAGTAGGAGGAAGTTGAGGTAGGAACTGTTAGTTTCTATTTATCAGTTAGTTGGGAAGTGGGGCTATGTCCTGTAGGAGATAAATAAGGATTAAATTTTAAGGAGAGTGGATGAAAATAAGAATCAATTGATATGGAGTGTGGAAATGTTGGGATTTCTGGGTGAATAGTGAGGACCTGATCGAGATTATAATCATGTATTTACCTTGGTACCAGTTTCTCTGCGTTGACGTTTTAGGAATTTTTTTCCTCATTCTTCCTCCTCTACATAAAACTTAAAATAAAACCACAACAAACTACCATTCATACCCATTAGAATGGGTGTTATATAAAAGATTGGCAATGACAAATGTTGGGGAAGATATGGAGAAATGGGAAGCCTCATACATTGCTAGTGAGAATGTAAAATAGTGCAGCCAGTTTGGGAAACAGTTTGGCAGTTTCTTAAAAAGTTAAACATAAATTTACCATGTGACCCAGTAATTTCATTCGTAAATATCTACACAAGAAAAATGAAAACATTCCATAAAGCTTTTCAAATGATCTGAGCAGCATTATTCATAGCTGAAAATTGAAAACAAACTGAATGCCCTGCAATGGGTAATGAGTAGGCAAAAATTTGATATGCAATGGAATACTATCTGGCAATAAAAAGAAATTGACTATAGGTAACTGCTACAACATGGATGAACTGTAAAAAGCAGGCTCAGTGAAAAAAACACAGACAGGAAACCCAGGTCTTTTATAATGGGTAGTAAGCATGCTTGCTCTTTGCTCCAGAGCAAGATGCTATGAAATGCCCAGGGAAAGCAAAGAGTAGATTGGTGGTTTCTTGAGTTAGAGAGGAAAGGGAGAGGGACTAACAATAGCATGAGAGATCTCTTGGGATGATGAAAATGTTCTAAAACTGATTTATGATATTGATTGTACAACTTGGTAAACTTTCGTTACAAAAATCGCTAAATCATACATTTGGAAAGGGTGAATTATAAGATATATACAATATGCCTCAGTAAACTTACGGTTGATTTGATTTGGTTTATTTATTTATTTAGAGACAGGGTCTTACTCTGTCTGTCGCCCAGGCTGGAGTGCAGTGGCCTGATCACGGCTCACTGCAGCCTTGACCTCCTGGGCTCAAGTGATCCTCCTGCTTCATTCAGCCTCATGAGTAGCTAGGACCACAGGTGCATACCACTGTACCCAGTGAATTTTTCATTTTCTTGTAGAGATGATCTTGTAACGTTACCCAGGTTGTGTGAATTCCTAGGGTCAAGTGATCCTCTTGCCTCAGCCTCCCAAAGTGCTGGGATTACAGGCATGAGCCACTGTGCCCAGCCAGTAAAGTTAGTTTTAGAAAAGAGGGAATAGTTCTTGTGCAGGGAAGTGACTTGGAGTGGACCAGTTTGCAGAGTGCAGGGGTGGGGAAAACAGGATTGGTGTTTTCTTGGGCAAATAGGATAAAAGAATAAAATGGCAATAAATGTAGGGTTTGGGGAAGTGAGAGATTGAACCGCATTGACCCTAACTAAGTAAGGAAAGCATGGATTATCTGGTGCTGACAAGTAAGGAGAAAATCCCCACAGTATTGAAGAACAGATGTGGTGAGAGTGGGGATCAGAGAGGTTCTGAAGTTTAGGGAACTTGCAAGATGGTATAGGTGGAGTATGAGAGTGTATGTAGAGGTGAGATGGGGAGAGTAGGGGGGAAGACAGGGAACAAATGGGCCTTCCTGAACTTTATACCTGTTCGAAAGTGGAGACGTAGAATTAATATTGAAAAACAAACCAAGGCCAGGCATGATGTCTTCTGCTTTTAATCCCAGCAGTTTGGAAGGTCAAGGTTGTAGGAGTGCTTGAGGCCAGGAGTTGGAGACCAGCTTGGGCAGCATAGGGAGATCCCATCTCTATTTAAAAAAAGAAAAAACTGGAGCATGTGTCCATTTTTCACATCTTCTGGTTTACTCTCTATTGTTGTAACTCTTCTACTGGAATTCACTGGCTGCAGTGGTGTGCACCTGTGGTCCTAGCTACTCATGAGGCTGAAGCAGGAGGATCACTTGAGCCCAGGAGGTCAAGGCTGCAGTGAGCCGTGATCAGGCCACTGCACTCCAGAACAGATCTACCTGTAGGTTTAATTTAAGGGTTAACTGGAATAATTTATATAAAGCACCTCTGTATCTGCCCCTTAGTCCTAAATAAACAATTGCAGATGTTATTGTTGGAAAAGTTGAGGAAAAGCATATTTGTTATCTTACTGAATAACAGATTAAACCAAGTGCAACAGTACATAGATTTATGATGGTCAGGTTCTGTAGGTCAGGAATTTGCAGTGGCTTAGTTGAATAGCTCTGGCTCAAGGCCTCACTCACATGGTGCTCCCTGATGATGGAGAGGCTTCAGTTCTTTTCGACATGGGCCTCACCTTAGTACTGCTCAGTAGTCTCATAACAGGCTGCTGGCCTCTCACCGAGTAATCTAAGAGAGGAAGGCTGAAGCCAAAATACTTTCATAGCCTGGCTTTGGAAGGCACACACTGTCATCTCTGCCATACTCTCGTGGTCAGACAAGCAGAACTGATTTCAGTACAGATTATATGAGAGCATGATGACCAGAAGGCAAGTATTAGTGGTATCATCTTGGAGATTGGCTTCCACAGGGAGAAATACGTTTTTTTTTTGCTTTGAGAGAGAGTGGCATATTTATTTGCATCTTTCCTGGCAGTAGGTCTCTAGTCATTACTTTTACAAATTTATACAAATTTGAGATAGTTGGTGCTTCTTCATGACAAAATGTCCAGTTAACATTTGTGAGGCCAGGTGCAGTGGCTCATGCCTGTAATCCCAGTACTTTGGGAAGCCAAGGTGGGAGGATTGCTTGAGCCCAGGAATTTGAGACCACCCTGGGCAACTTGGCGAAACCCCATCTCTACAAAAAAAATTACAAAAATCATCTGGACATGGTGGTGTGCACCTGTAGCTCAGCTACTCTGGAGGCTGAGGTGGGAGGATTGCCTGAGCCCAGGAGGTCAAGGTTGCAGTGAACCATGATCATACCACTGCACTCTAGCTTGGGCGACAGAGCAAGGCCTTGTCTTAAAAATAAAATAAAATAAAATACATTTGTGATTAGTGTTTTCTCATAGCACTCTTACTTGATAACTGCTTTTTAATTTTTAACTAAGAGTTTTTTAAAACCCCACTTGTTTGGTTGTAACCAAAACAGTAGCCTTTTGCCCTGTACCCAATTTCTACTTCCCAGAGAATACTATTCTCAGTTCCCTTGAATGTCTCTTCTTGTAACTTCCTCCATGTTGTTAAATTGCCCTGCTTATACTGCTGTTTCTTGATTGTCCGATTTTAGAGTTTAGTAGTTTTGTAGTGTGAAAATGATAATTTGGCACTTTTGTATATTTATGCGACTCACAATTTTTGGTGGAATCGATGTTCAGTGTTTGTATTATTAGGATTATAAATATTCTTAGTTAATCCGTGTAGTAAATGATGATTGTATCTCATCTCTCATACAACTTTGTTTTTTTCCTGGAATTAATGGATTGTCTTTTTTTTGTTTGTTTAGTTTTTTTAAATGTCCTCATAAATAAATCATCTCTGAACTCTTCAAAAGAATGAAATTCCTCCTCCTGGTATGATCATGTAATCTATCGGCTATTTTCTTTCTTCTGTTGGTGACGTCCTATCTGGACTTTATCTTCTGCTCCACCTGGGAGTGACTGCGTTATAGCTTGCACAGCCATTGTCATAGAAGAGTCTGCTCTCTCTTGTTTTGGAGACTTTGCAAGATTTAGTGGTTTTCTATTTTTTGTTTACTCTCCAGTTTTATAGAGCATATCCTCCACTAGCTTCCTAAGAAAGGATGCCTGAGAAATACATTTTTGAGACTTTGCTTGATTAATTGATAGTTTTCCTGTGTATAAATTTCTTGATTGGAAATTATTTTCATTTGGAATTTTGAAGGCATTGATTGTTCCATTGTCTGCTAGCTTTTAACACTCCTCCTGAGAAATCCCAGGCAATCCTGATTCCTAATCTTTGTTTCTGCTTGGCTTTCCACCCATGTAGACATTTAAGTTTCAGCTGTCTCTCCTTTGTTCTGCTCAATCCATTAGCAGTCATCTGTCTAGTAATACTTCCTGTTTTCCAAAATTTTGTTGGCTTTGCCTCCCTCTGTCTTTTTTTCTAGTGGGTTTATAACTTTTATAAACAAAAAATATTCCTGAGGTTGTTTTTCCATAATAATTATCTAAATAAAAGATTAATCTTGTATATAATTTCTGTGATAATATTTTCCTTCTTATTACTTCCAAATGTTCTATTTAAAAATTTCCCCTGTAATTCCCCTTGGTTTGGGGGGCTTCTTTTGTTTCTGATTGAGGCAAGGATGGAAACTAGTATCAATTAAGTGCCAAGTATTTATTGTAATTTGAGAGCTTTACGTGTACTAACTAGATAGATGAGGTAAGAAAGATACTCTTCACATCTCTGTTAGGTAGCTGACAATTCCATTTTAGTGAGAAAATGTATCAACTTAGTCACTTTCCAAAGGTCATACTTGTAGTAAATAACATACAGACTTTGAATCTAGTATTTCTGTTACTGTAGTCCTTTTTCTACTTTGCTTATAACTTTATCAGTCTTTGTGTGTGAAAATTTTATGTGTGAAAGAGGGAGGTACATAACGCTGAGTGAACCCTAAGGTAAACTGTGGAGTTGGGGTGATTATGATATGTTATGTTGATGTAAGTCAATCAATTATAGTAAATATACAGCTCTGAATATTGATCGTGTGGGAGGCTGTGCATGTGTAGGGTAAGGGACATGTGGGAAATCTCTATACCTTTCTCTCAATTTTGCTGTGAACCTACAACTGCTCTAAAAAAAAAAAAATTAAGTCTCATTATGTTGGCCAGACTAGTCTCAAACGCCTCACCTCAGATGATTCTCCAGCCTCGCCTCCCATAGTGCTAGGATTGTAAGCATGAGCCACTGCTCCCTGCTGGTCATCACACTTTCTCAGCGGTGTTTTCACTGCTTACCCCATCTAAGAGTGCCATTGTCTATCCTGAACCTTGCTCACTTCCCTTATAGCACCTGCTGTTTCTAAATATTTGTTTACTTGTTTGTGGTCCAGATCTCCCGGTAGGCTCCAACTTCGTAAGAGCAGATACCATGTCTCATTTGTTCACCTAGTGCTGGAATGTACTAGAAAAGTCAGTAAATATATTCATTTTAGTGTTGTTTTTTTTAAGACAGGGTCTCATTCCCATCACCCAGGCTGGAGTGCAGTGGCAGGATCAGCGTTGACTTCCCAGGCTCAGGTGATTCTCCCACCTCAGCCTCCCAAGTAGCTGGAGCCACAGGCATGAGTCAGCACGCCTGGCCAGTTTATGGGTTTCCACCTTGTTACCCAGACTACTCTTGATCTCTTGGGCTTAAGCAATCCCCCTGCCTCGGCCTCCCAAAGTGCTGGAATTACAGGTGTGCACCACCATGCCTGGCCAATAGGTATATTCTTAATGGGGGAAAAAAAGTAGGGCAAGAATAGTCTTATCCCCAGCATGTAATTATCAGCCATTTTTCAGCATTTTGCCAATCTTTTGTTTCATATATTCTACCAGTTTTAACCTGTAAATATTCTTCCATATGCATAGCTGATGCATGAAAGGACATTTAAAAAATCGCAGTGCCATTGTTATACCTAACAAAATTAGTAATCTCTTAATATAATCTTTTTTTTTTTTCTTGCTCTGTTGCCCAGGCTGGAGTGCAGTGGCACTGTCTCAGCTCAGAGCAGCCTCTCCCTCCCGGATTCAAGCGATTCTCGAGCCTCAGCCTCCTGAATAGCTTGGATTACAGGCGCATGCCACCACACCTGGCTAATTTTTGTATTTTTAATAGAGACGAAGCTTCACCATGTTGGCCAGGCTGGTCTGGAACTCCTGATCTCAAGTAATCCACCCGCCTCAGCCTCCCAAAGTGTAGGGATTACAGGTGGTGAGTCACTGAATATAATCTGAAACTGTGTTCACATTCGGATTTTTCTGGTTGCCTCAAAAAATACATTTTTACATTTGGTTGGTTCAGACAGTATCCAGATAGGGCCAACACATAGTATTGGGTTATGTCTTTTAAGTTTCTTTTAAAAAGTCTGTAATGGTGTCCTCTCCTTTTTCTATGCCCTTTTTATGTTGAAAAAACTGGATTCTTTATCCTATAGAATGTCCCACATTCTAGATTTGGCTGATAGCTTCTTTGGGGTTTCATTTTACTTTACTACTATCCCCGGTATTTCCTGTTAACTGGAAGTTAGAGCTAGATGTTTAATTAGATTCAGGTTTATTTATATACGTATTTTTGCAAGAACACGTCCTGTTTAGTACATGTAGTTTTTTGTTTCATCAGGAGGCAGATATCTCTAATATCTTATTGGGGCGATGCTAAGTGGGTATGAGTGTTACCAGCTTGCAAGTTTCCCATCCACAAAATCCTAATGATTTTAGCACCCATTTGTGATCCTTCTCTAGATTCATTATTTCATTAGGTGTTGCACATTAGGGATCTTTCAAATAACATAATTTCTTCCACATTTACTAACTGCGATTCTTATATAACAAAGTACTTTCTCTATTTGGTTACCTGAAATAAGGAAAGATAATATTAACTATTGATTTTCCCCCTTTACTTGTCAGTTTTCAGAGTAATGAGTTGATGCCTTAGCAACTTTCATTGGTGATCAATGAAAGGTTTTTTAAGAGTCACTGTGATCTAAGAGCTATTTATATATTTGATGGATTTTGGTGAATCATAGTTATTCCTCATTCTGATGCTCAAATTGACCCATTAGTGTCCCCATTAGTCTTTGATAACCTCTTTGGTTTCAGGCACAAGGTGTCCCAGGCTCATTTTGTACATACCCTTCTCCAGACTACAATCAGCCGTTTTTCTCTGAAAAACTGTTTTGTTGTGTGTGTGTAGGAAATAGTATTTAGAAACAACAAACAGTTGTTAAGGGTTTGTTACTGTTGGGTTGTTATTCTAGGCATTTCCAGTGACAGAGCTAGGAAAAATACCTATTTTTCAGGAAGAGAAAAATAAATCTTGAGTTCCTATCCACGTTTACAATTGAAATGTAAGGACTTTTTTTTTTCTTTTAACTTGGCTACTGTGATTTTTTTTTTCCAGATTTAAAAAATAAGCTTTATTTTAAAAAATTTAACGTGCATTATTGGAAACTGAAACAAGAAATGAGGAACAAAGTCATCCGCAATCATAAGCAGTTTGACATGCCCTTCTAGGTCTTATGTGTATATACATAACATCCAATTTTATGTGATTGAGATCATACAGTGTGTGTTGCGCTTTTTCACATATCGTGAACCTTTATCAGCTCAGAACCCCAAAGCTATCTTCTGCTCTTCAGCTGCCACCTGTTGAATAAGTCCTGATACATGCTATCTAGGTGGGTTAACAGTTCCATGTTCAAGGTGCATCTTTTCTATCAATTATAGCAAGATATTTACAAATTGGCTAACTCACTAGCTCTGCTTTTTATCATACATTGTCAACTCAGGACATCTATAAAGCATAGATGTTGCAAAATAAAGAATGAACTTTGTCCATAATAAACAGATGCTTTACCAAAAATGCACTTAGAGACCTGTGGTTAAAATCTAAAACCTGTCCTCTGGGTATGGAGACGTTAGCAGAGAGCCTCACCCTTCACCCTTTCCCTCTTCTGTCATTTCAGTGACTAAGCACAGTACTACATCTAGCTCTACAAGGTTGGTTAACAATACCACTCCCAGGGGACAGGCCTCCCTGAAAACCAACAAAAGTGTGTTTAAAAATGGATTTTTTACTGCCGCTACTTTTAACATACTTTGAGCATTAGGACTTGTTTATCCTTTAAACAGAGCAGTATTAACTAAATTACACATATAGAACAATGGTTGGACAATCTGAACTAATATAACTCACAGGAACGGAAGTCCTCGCTGCCCCCTTCCCCGCCCCACCCCACCCCACCCACTTAGCATTTTCTCCAAGACTTCAGCTTTAACAATTCCATTCCCAAACTGCAAACGTTCTTGTGAAATAACAACAACAAAAAACTACATAGTGTTACTTTAGCTCTCATTAGCTACTTTGATTTTATACTTGTATACTCTTAAATTAAACCACAGTAACAAAAAGTACTTATTTGCTTGCTGCTTATTACACAAATCACAGCCTCATAATAGCAGCACTAATGACTGAATATACTTTTCTTTCTTTGTGATTCTTTTTGTACTTAGTACCAATAATGTACTCCTGATAAGGAGGTACAGTTGAAATACTGTGTGAGATATATGCTTATCTTTTCAGTTTATCCTATCGTTGTTGCTTTTTATTGAAATATACATGCTAATATATTTTAAAAATTATGTATCGTAATATACAGTTGGTGGTCTTAGGTTTGATTATTTTAAAATGATATATTATTGATATATTTTTAAACTCCCTTTCTTACAGGGAAGTTAGTGTATTATAAATACTGTTCTGCCATGCTTTTTCTCTTACATTCTGGAGCTCACTCTTTATCAGCATGTAACTCTTCATTCCTTTAAACAGTTGCATGGTTAGCCATCATGTGGATTACAGTGATTTATTCAACTAACTGTGTATTAATTCAGCCTTCTCTTTAAATCCTAAATAAACACTTTTGTGTGGCACAACCTGGTGTGAGAATTAAATATGACTGAATATTTAAAAATATTGAAATCACTTTCTGAGTTGTGTCCTTAAGGTAATTAATGAATCAGTTTTTGTGAAATGAATTTTACTTACCCAAGCATTCCAATTTACTTTTAAACTTCAGTCGTTTTTATGGAAATATTTTAAATTTATTACAGACTTTTATGCAGTTTAATCATTTTCTTTTTGCCATACTAGAGGATGTCGACATTATTGAATTGAATTCTGATATTCTGTGCCCTTTAGTTTTTCTGTGAATTCCTCGAATGTCAGTATTTCTCATGGTTACAGTATGATATTCCTAAATTAATGCAGCTCTTGTGTGAAGGTTTCTCTCTCTGCTTTTTTCAGGGCTTTGAGCTTATGTATAGGAAAGTCAATTAGAAAAATTGTGCCTAATTAGAAAAATTAGAAAAATTTACCTGATGTTAACATGAATGGTGTCATCCTCTAGTTTGTTAGACTAAAAATGAATAGTTGAAGTTGAGAAGACAGTACATCTTTGTCTTTATCTGACTTTTTACAATGGCATGTTTTCATAATATATAGGTGTGACTGCTTGCTTGTTAATAGTAATATTTTCTTGAATCAGATGCTCTGCCTTACTCAATACGGGTTCTGCTGGAAGCTGCTGTACGAAATTGTGATGGCTTTTTCATGAAGAAGGAAGATGTTATGAACATTTTAGACTGGAAAACCAAACAAAGCAATGTTGAAGTGCCCTTTTTCCCTGCCCGTGTTCTTCTTCAAGATTTTACGTGAGTAATGAGTTTATTTTTTGTGAACAAATTCTCAGTGTGTTTCCTTTTTAAAATTCAGACTCCTTGGTTGGGGGAGTTGTTCACAACTGTAATCTCAGCACTTTGGAAGGCCAAGGCAGGAAGATCACTTGAGCCCGGGGGTTTGCAATCAGTATGGGCAAGTATGTACAAAAATAAAAAAATTTAAAAAATTAGCCAAATATGGTGGTGCATGCCTGTAGTCCCAGCTACTCTGGAGGCTGAGGTGGGAAGATCACTTGAGCACAGTAAGTTGAGGCAGCAGTGAGCCGTGGTCACACCACTGCACTCCAGCCTGGGGTGACAGTGCAAGACCCTGTCTCTAAAAATAAAAACTAAGAATTCAGACTCCCTTTTGGAGGGCTGTGTTTTTTAATTTTAAGGTTAGTTTATAAACTTAAATTTTGCCCTTTCTAAACTGAAGCAATTCATTAAAAATTAGATACCTGTTTTACATATCATTTATTCAAAAACTGCTTTTGCTTAACTACCTTCTTATGAGCTCTACATAACCGACAAGTTTCTCAAAAATGGAAACTTGATTTTATTTTGAGGTAGAGTCTCACTCTGTCACCTCAGCCAGAGTGCAGTGATGCCGTGGTAGTTCACTGCAGCCTCAACCTCCTGGGCTCAAGCAATCCTTCTGCCTCTGCCTCCCAAAGCTCTGGGATTACAGGCGTGAGCCACTCTGCCCAGCCATAAAAACTTGACTTTTTGATTATCTATCTCAACCCACCTATTTCTTTCTAAGTCTTTTTTGTCATAGTAAATGGCAGCATACACTCCCATTTGTTTAGGCTTCAAACCTAGGAGTTAGCCTTGATTTTTCTGTTTCTTTAGTACCCTCTAAGCAGTCTATCAGCAAGCTCTGTCAGTGCTACCTTTGAAGTATATCTCGTGTCCAATTATGACACAATCGTAGTTCACTGCAGCATCGACCTCCTGGGCTCAAGCTGTTATTGTATGCAGCTCTTATAGTACTTATGATACTATTCTGTAATCATTACTTTATCTTCTCTAAAAGTTTTCTGAGAACCAGAACTATGTTACTTGGCCTTGTACCATTGGCGTCTAGCACATTGAAGGCATTTGATAAATGCTTGTTATATTGTTGGCTGGATAGATGGGTGGATGAATGTAAAATGGCAAAAGCTACTATGGATAGTTTGGGGGGAACACGAAGGTACTGGGGGAGAGGGGCTGGAGCTGGGGAAAGGGGAGGGTGCATCAAAAAAAAACACAAGGCAGAAGAGAGTTCCACAGACACTTTCCTTGAAGTTCACTTATGCCTTCAAAAATTCTCTCTTATTTTTGGCACCTTTGCCCGAGTAATTCAGTTCTCAGATAATGTTTAATGTTAATTCTCGTTAAACCAGGATAACTCCTAACTTTAGATAATAAGTACGTTATGAAAAACGAATGTAAACTAGACAGGGATACTTTTTAAATATGAAAATGAAAAAGTACATATTATTTTTTAAGTATGTATAAAAAACAATTCGAATTATAATTTAACCATTCCTTATTTTTTAGTGGAATACCGGCAATGGTGGATTTTGCTGCTATGAGGGAGGCAGTGAAAACTCTTGGAGGTGATCCTAAGAAAGTCCATCCTGCTTGTCCAACAGATCTGACAGTTGACCATTCTTTACAAATTGACTTCAGTAAATGGTACTTCAATACAGATGTTTATAGACAGCCATGCAAGTTGATTGGCTGGAAATGTGTCATGTAGAGGAAAAGGATTAGAGATGATTTATGGCAGAGAAAAGCATGCAACTTTAGTGTTGGCTAGTATGTAAAAGGGACAACTGGTAAAAAGTTTATGGAATGGTGGCTTGTTTTGTATTTAGTCTGTTTAAAGTTATTTTCATATTTGTGTATTTCTGCTGCCATTTTAGAACCTGCCTTTTGGAGCGAACCTCTGAATTCAGGCTTTGTTTCCTCTTTGTTTTTTAACCTACAGTACTTGTCTTTCAGAAAGAATCCAAAGATGTGAGCCATGAATGTTTTTAATTATTTGATGATTAAAAACTTTGAGCTCACTAAAGCTGTATTTTCCTTCCACTGAAATAAGTTTCCTGTATTTATAAGGCTCCTTTGACCAAGACCAAACTAGAGAAGACATATTCCTGTTGCCATAAATTAACTTTTTAAAAACATTCCCTACAGTAGCGGAATAAGACTGCAATTTTTTATAGCCCGTGGGAGAGATTTTGCCCTCTAGATAAACTGTAGCTCTAAATTTCTTTTAAGTTGTTAGGGGGGGAAAAAGTCTTATTTCAGTACTTGCTAGAAGTTATTTAAATTGGTAGAGTATATGAAAATGGTTTTACTGGACGCTTAGAATTATGTTTTCATTTCTTACCTGTTTTTCTTTTTTTCATAATCTGAGATTTGCCTTTGAAACCTGAGTCAAATGATATATTAGCATTCAAACATCATTTACTTCCATATAGCATTCCTAGTGTGCATTTTTTTAAGTGTGCATTTTTAAAAATTTCTGTCACTTTTAAATGGCTTTATTTTGTTTTCTTTTTGGAATGACAGTGCAATACAGAATGCGCCAAACCCTGGAGGTGGTGACCTGCAGAAAGCAGGAAAGCTCTCTCCACTTAAAGTGCAGCCTAAGAAGCTTCCCTGCAGAGGCCAGACTACCTGCCGAGGATCTTGTGATTCTGGAGAACTAGGCCGAAACTCAGGAACATTTTCTTCACAGATTGAGAATACACCCATCCTGTGTCCTTTTCATTTGCAACCAGTGCCTGAGTATGAGATTGTTTTTCTTAATGTTGATTAATATCAGGTTATTTTGCAGTTAAGAAAATCACGTACATTCTCCTTCCCACTCAATTGCTATTATGTTACCTTCACACTATGTACTGGAATTGAATTTATTTTTATATGTATTTCCTGTTATTCTAAAAGAAGTAAATTTAGTGAACATGATGATCTCCAAGTATCATTCTCTCTTTCTGTTACTAACAAAGCAAACCTTTCTTAAGATTTATCTGTAAATATAATTCATCTTTTTGACGATTATAAGCAGAAAAATGGGGTTTCATTTTAGTACATTTGTACCATTCATTAATACTAATGACTAATACTCATTAGTCATTCTCTGTTTATAGTTTTAGCATTTTTTTTTCCCTACTAGGGGTTTCTTATCTTATTGTATTTAGAGCGCTATGTTGGCCCGGCGTAGTGGCTCACACCTGTAATCCTAGCACTTTGGGAGGCCAGAGCAGGTGGATCACTTGAGCTTAGGAGTTTGAGACCAGCCTGGGCAACATGGTGAAACCCCATCTCCACAAAAACTTACCCGGGTGTGATGTCATGCACCTGTGGTCCCAGCTGCTCAGGAGGCTGAGGCAGGAGAATCTCTTGAACCTAGGAGGTGGAGGGTTGCAGTGAGCCAAGATCACGCCACTGTACTGCAGCATGGGCATGGCAGAGTGAGACTCTTGAGAAAAGAGTTCTGTCCTAGGATTTGGCTAGATTTCCTAATAGGTAAATTTTTTAAAATAAGAAAAAGAGTTCTATGGCCAGGTGCAGTGACACATTCCTGTAATTTCAGAACTTTGGGAGGCTGAGGCAGGCAGATCACCTGAGGCCAGGAGTTCCAGACCAGCTTGGCAAACATGACGAAACACCATCTCTGCTAAAAACACAAAATTAGCCAGGCATGCTGGCAGGGACCTGTAATCTCAGATACTCTAGAGGGTGAGGCATGAGAATTGCTTGTACCAGGAGGCAGAGATCATAGTGAGCTGAGATCACACACACCGCACTCCAGCCTGGGTGACAGAGCAAGACTCTAGAAAGAAAGAAAAGAAAAGAGTTCTATGGCTTCTTGAAAAATATACTATAAAGTTTCCAAAGTCTTATTTTTATTTATTTATTTTTAGAGACAGGGTCTTACTATGTTGTTGCCCATGCTGGTCTCAAACTCTTGGGCTCAAGTCATCTGCCTGCCTTGGCCTTCCAAAGTGGGGTTTGGTTTGGTTTAGTTTGGTTTGGCTTTGAGACAGAGTCTCATTCTGTTACCTGGGCTGGAGTGCAATGGCATGATCATGGCTCACCACAGTCTTGACCTCTTGGACTTAGGTGATCCTTCCACCTCAGCTTCCCAAGTAGCTGGAACCTCAGGCATGCATTACCATGCCTGGCTAATTTTCTGTGTAGACAAGCGGTGTCACTATGTTGCCCAGACTGGTGTTGAACTCCTGGCCTCAAGTGATACTTCTGCCTTGACTGTCCAAAGTGCTGGGATTATAGGCATGAGCCACTGTGCCCAGCCATATTTTTTTTTTTTTTTTTTTTGAGATAGGGGTCTCTCTTTGTCACCCAGGCTGGGAGTGCAGTGGCATCATCTATAGCCCACTGCAGCCTCCAACTCCTGGGCTTAAATGATCCTCCTACCTTAGCCTCCAGAGTAGCTGGTACTACAGGCACACACTACCATGTCTGACTAATTTTATCTTCCTTTTTTGAGGGTAGAGATGGGATCTCACTATGCTGCTCAGGCTGGTCTTAAACAGACCTCACTCATGCAGTCCTCCCACTTTGGCCTCCCAAAGTGCTGGGACTGCAAGCATGAGGCACTCCACCTGGTCCTTTTAAAAATGTATTTACTTACACTTTAGTTTTTAAAAAGTTTAACACATTTAGGATTTAGAGTAGCTAAGAGTAATGGCCATTGAGTTATCCTAAGTACCAAGTAATATGTTAATTCCTTTGTCCCTGCCTGGATCTTCCAAGATCTGCCTACTTCTAAAAATTTGGGGCTATAATTTTAAGAGCACACTTAAAATTTGTGTGCTCTTTCTAAGGATTCAGTATAATCTGTGAGTCTTTTGCCATAACATTTTGGCAGTTTATGTAATTGTTCCTGTTGCCTAGTTGTCCTGGTTGTTAGGGAGCATGCTGACTTTTGAGATTAACACCTCTTATACATAAATTAATTTTCTGAAAAGGAAGATGTATTGATTCAAAATCATTGATGTCTTTAGCTTTTGTTTATAACTGGCAGATTGTAAGTGCTTTGTGCTATGTTTTTATTTCTAAAAATCTAATCTGGTGTAACATTTCCCCATAATTTTGACTCTTAAAGCATTAAGATCAGTTATATAGTAGTCCCTGGCTATGTGATGATAGTGACTCATTGGTGTCCTTTAATGTGTCAGTGAAGTATTAATTATAGATTGAAGTCAGGTTATGAGCCAATAAATGTTTGTATGGCACTTTGTTGCCATAAGTGCCGTTGAAGGGTAAAATAATTGGAGTGGTTCAGAAAGCTGTGTTCCCCGAGGCCCTGAGAAAAATTTCACTAAGATGTGCTTGGCTTCAAAAGATCACTCAACCATGAATTATTAAAGCAATCTTTGTTTTAAAAAAAAAAAAAGAGTAAAGTGATCTTTGTTTAAAAAAAAAAAAAAGTTGGCCAGGCGTGGTGGCTTAAGCCTGTAATCCCAGCACTTTGGGAGGCTTAAGTGGACAGATCACCTGAGGTCAGGAGTTCGAGACCAGCCTAACACGGAGAAACCCCGTCTCTATTAAAAATACAAAACTAGCTGGCTGTGGTGGTACATGCCTGTAATCCCAGCTACTTGGGGAGGCTGAGGCAGGAGAATCACTTGAACCCGGGAGGCAGAGGTTGCGGTAAGCTAAGATCGCACCATTGCACTCCATCCTGGGCAGCAAGAGTGAAACTCCCATCTAAAAATAATTTTCTAAAAATGTTACTGCTTAGAGGTTATTTTTGTCACTTAGTTTAAATAATTCATGTTGTTTGTCAATGCTGCATAGCAGTAATCAGCGCCCATCTCCCTAGTTTAACTGGCACAAGAGCCTAGTGGGGAGGAAAGTACATGCTTGTTGTTGAAGAAGCTACTACCTTCCTCTTTTCTTGCAGTAGATAACCCAACGGAGTATATTTTTATTATCATTTAAGTATAGTTTGAGACATTGCTGTAATGTGGCTTTCTTACACTCAGTAAAATAAAATTCATTTTATAGCTTTGTAGTATGTTATTTAAAGCATAACTTCTTTGTTGAAAAAATAATTCTGAAAAGTCTAGTAAATGGTTCTTCCAAGGATTTTAAGAATATATTTGTATATATATTTATGCCTAAGAATGATGGCTTAGAAACAAGGCAAGTCTTTTTTGTAATACATACATTTAATGCCAGCTCTTCTTCCTTTTAGACCTGAAACAGTGTTAAAAAATCAAGAAGTAGAATTCGGCAGAAATCGAGAGAGGCTTCAGTTTTTTAAGGTATAAATGATTCAAGGAAATTTTTGTATTGTAATATATAAAATAGTGATAGGTACAATTTTTGTATCTTTAGTAGTTGTTTGTTTGTTTGTTTGTTTTGAGACAGAGTCTTGCTCTGTCACCCAGGCTGGAGTCCAGTGGTATGATGTCAGCTCACTGCAACCTCGGCCTCCTGAGTTCAAGCAATTCTCTTTTTTCAGTCTCCCAAGTAACTGGGATTACAGGCACACACCACCAAACCTGGCTAATTTTTGTATTTTTAGTAGAGACGGGTTTTCACCTTTTGACCAGGCTGGTCTCAAACTCCTGGCCTCAGGTGATCCACCCGCCTCAGCCTCCCAAACTACTGGGTTTATAGGCGTGAGCCACAGTGCCTGGGCTATTTATTTATTTGAGGAAGAGTCAATGCTATTGCCCAGGCTGGAGTGTGATGAGCTTGGTTCACTGCAACCTCCGTTTCCTGGGTTCAAGCGATTCTCATGATGCCTCAGCCTCCTGAGTAGCTGGCATTTCAGGTGTGCACCACTGCCCGGCTATTTTTTGTATTTTTAGTAGAGACGGGGTTTTGCCATGTTGGCCAGGCTGGTCTCAAGCTCTTGGCCTCAAGCAGTCTGCCCGCCTCGGCCTCCCAAAGTGTAGTGATCACAGGCATGAGCCCTCTGCCTGGCCACTTTAGTCATTTCTGAAGGCCAAAGGCTTTAGAAATGCTTTTGTTCTTCAAATGAAATCTTACTGGAAACCTCATTGTATAAAGAAAGATGAAAACAGTGGCTCTAGTTTAGGAGAGACAGCTTGGAGGGAGGGTCTTGTACATTGAGCCTTTCTTTCTTTCTTCCCATTCCTGAGAATCTTTGGAACACAGCTGAATACTGACATTTGTCTGGACTTCTTAAACATTTTTATTTGACCTAAATTAATTTTGTCTTAATAAAAAATATATTTAGGTTCAGTATCTGTATATTTGTTACAAATATACAGTCCATGATACAAACTTTGTACATATCATATTGAACATTAATCAGAATATTTTTAGTGTTAATATTATAGCTTGATTGTGAGCACAAATTCATATACTAACATTTGTATTTCTTAAACAAAATATAGTGGAGTTCAAGAGTTTTTAAGAATGTGGCAGTAATCCCTCCTGGAACTGGAATGGCTCATCAAATTAACTTAGAATATTTGTCAAGAGTGGTTTTTGAAGAAAAGGACCTCCTCTTCCCAGACAGTGTAGTCGGCACAGATTCACATATAACGATGGTGAATGGTTTAGGGATTCTGGGGTGGGGTAAGTAAATGACTAAATATATTTCATTTCTTTGGGGGTAAGGATGTCACGAACATTTTAAAAAAACATATTATTGGGTTTCTATAGCCTCTTTGAGGCTCTGTTTTTTTTCATCTGTAGTAGCAATAGCAACAACAAAATCTTAATCGAGAGTTTGTGATACTGTTGTAAAAGAGGATTTATGAAAAGAAATTTACACAATGCCTGGCACAGCACTACCATTTGTGAAGTAATTGAATAAGGATGATGATATGTCTGCAAAGGTTACTTCTTTGTTTAAGGCACTTCTGTGGCTTCTCCTGGTCTTCTTTATAAGTCTAAATTTCTTGCCATTTTATACAAGGCTCTTCACAACATCTGGTGTTCTTTAGCCATTCATACATGCCCATCTTAGAGACTAGTCATTTCTTTACTTGTGTGGGCTGTCTCTTTTCATTTTTTTGGAGACAGAATCTTGCTCTGTTGCCGACGGTGGAGTGCAGTAGCTCAATCTTGGCCCAGTGCAACCTCTACCTCCTGGATTCAAGTGATTCCTGTGCCTCAGCCTCCCAGGTAGCTGGGACTACAGGCATGTACCACCACGCCCAGCTAATTTTTATATTCTTAGTAGAGATGGGGTCTCACCCTGTTGGCCTGGCTGGTCTGGAACTCCTGGCCGCAAGTGATTCACCTGTCTAAAAGTGCTGGTAATCCCAGGCACAGCTAGCTGTGCTCTTTTACACCTTGACTTTGCATAGGCTATTTCCTCTGGCAGAATGCATTCTGCCGACCGTTCCTTTTTGTTGAAATGTGGCTACTTTTAACTCATCCAAGACTGACCTCAGTTATCTTCTGAAAGCCTTAACTCCCCTTGCTGCAGTGTACCTCACTTTGTACTCACTCTTGCACAGGGTGTTATAATTGTTGGTTTTTTTGTCTTTTTCATTAGACTGAACTTGTTGAGGTTGGCAGGGACTAGGTTCTGTTTATATCTGTATCTTTACTATAGTACAGGGCCTAGCATAATGAATACTCAAACTAATATTTTACCTTGAATATACTTAAAACCAATATTGGCCAGGTGAGGTGGCTCACACCTGTAATCTCAGCATTTTGGGAGGCTGACACAAGCAGATCACGAGGTCAGGAGTTCGAGACTATCTTGGCCAACATGGTGAAACCCGGTCTCTACTAAATACAAAAAATTAGCCGGGCGTGGTGGCATGCGCCTGTAGTCCCAGCTACTCAGAAGGCTGAGGCAGGGGAATCACTTGAACTCAGGAGGTGGACGTTGCAATGAGCCAAGATCGTGCCACTGCACTCCAGCCTGGCAACAGACAGAGCAAGACTCCATCTCAAAAAACAAAACAAACAGTATTTTACCATGAATATAAAGTTAAAATAATAGTTTTTCAACCATGTGTGTGGAGTCATTCTTTTGGGAAGGTTTTGGGTTCAGTGTCCACATTAATAGCAATAGAGCAACTCTGTAAGGTACTGTGTAAGAAAAGCTCATGGAACACCTAGACATTCAGATGTTACAGAGATAAATTATTTTTAAATATACTGTGCTAATATACCTGTCTTTATTATGTTAGGGGTTGGAGGCATTGAAACAGAAGCAGTTATGCTTGGTCTGCCAGTTTCTCTTACTTTACCAGAGGTTGTTGGATGTGAGTTAACTGGGTCATCAAACCCTTTTGTTACATCCATAGATGTTGTTCTTGGCATTACAAAGGTAAGTTAAAGTAGGCGTAGCTCTATGACCTAGTGAACGTTATTTTTATATAAATGGAAGAGCCCTATGAGAGCAGGGATTTGGGTTCATTACTTCATCCTCAGGTCTCTGACATTAGCCACGTCATCCTGGTTATCATAGTAATAACAACAAACATAGCATTTACTTTGTACTAGTAAATCGAAGAAATCTGTTGTGTTCACTTCTGTTAGCTCATTTATTCCTCGTAACAAGCCTGTGAGATGGGTACTATTACTATCCTGTGAGAAAACTAAGGTACAGTAAGGTTTAGTGGCTTAACAAAGGGTCAGAGGGCTGAGGAGCACAAAGATTCTAACCCAGGCAGTCAGATTATTGAGTTCATTCTCTTAACCATTATATCTTATTAGTGCCTTGTTGCCTTAATAAATAGTTGTTGACTACATGATTTTTTTCTTTTTTCTACATGAATTTAAAAAAATGTTTAACAAAAGTTGATTGTATCTTCTTTAATTGAATTATTTGCCCATTAGAAACTGTGACTCTACCAAGTAATGCTTTCAAAAATGTGGACTGTAGAAATGTGATATATCAGATTTTTCTGTTGCTATTTTAACATTTCTCTGGATTATATAAAAACCTTTTCTCGTAATTTTTAAAATTCTGGCTGCAGGCCTTTAATACATACACTGAGCTTCCGAAGCATATTAATACATAGGCTCATGGGTTTCCTAGTGAACAATAATTTGTAACTCTTCTTCCTAAATGTCTGGCTTTTACTAACTTTACTTTAGTGATTAAGTCCTATTTTGTTAAATGAGTGTACCTGGAAAATGTTCCACGTATAATCCCAATTCAGATCCCAATCTCAGCATTTTTGGTTAGATTATTAATATGAAGGCTTTCAGGATACTCCACAGGGTAAGGAAATGATAATGCCTCCCTTTCAGCATTTAGTATTGATCCTTCTTCCCTAATTAGAAAAGAATTTGGCATCTTGTAAGGAAACGACAATGCCTCCCTCTCAGCAGTTGGTATTGATCCTTCTTCCCTAATTAGAAAAGAATTTGGCATCTTAGAGAAATTATCGATTCAGTATATGGAACCAAAAGATCAAGAAGTAAATTGGGAATTGCAGGATTATTCCTAAAGGAAAATAAGTATCCCATTATGTTTTTAGAGTAATCAGTTCTTTACTAGACATCCTGAAATGAATGCTGCTTTTTTGCTTTGCTGGCTGTTTTTTCCTAACACTGTTACTATGTGTTTTTGACAGTTTATTGCTAAAAAAGTTAGTCTATTATGTATGTTTACATTTATTGAATATTTTACTTTTTTTGAGATCCTTTTCTATTTGTGATCCTTATAAGAGTAATCATGTAATTTTTTTTTATGAAAGCAGCATTTGGTTTGTAATAGCTAATCTGCGTTTCTTTCATCCTAAAAAATATAACCATAAATGTAAGGAAACATCTTTACATTTTAAAGTTTGAGTTTCTGTATCTATAAAAAAAGAGTTTAGGCTTAATATTACTCATAGATTGAGGATAGTTTCACTCCTAGTCCCCTCCGTACTTACTGTCCCTATACCAATCTGAGACCATTTTACAATTTAGAAAAGACAGTAGCTGGTTGGGTTACTTGATAGTATAATAACCAAGAAAAATAATTTTAGAAGGAATTAAGTTTGAAACTGCATGTGAACAAATTCTACCAAAATGGAATTTGTGTGTAGTTAAAGATGCTGTAAACATTTTGGCCAGTAGTTATAATTTGAAAAATTTTTATAGCCAGTATATAATTTTTTTATTTAAATATACAGCTTCATCTGTCTACTAGTGTTTCATTAAGTCTACAATGCAGTCAGTGGTTAGCGAACACCACTGTTTTATGCACTGCTAAGAAAGAATAAGAGGCTGCGCACAGTGGCTCACACCTGTAATCCCAGCAGTTTAGGAGGCCAAGGCAGGAACATCACTTGACGCCAGAAGTTCAAGACCAGCCTGGTCAACATTGTAAGACCCTGTCTCTACAAAAAAAAAATTTAAACATTAGCTGGGTGTGGTGGCATATGCCTTTAGTTCCAGCTACAAGGAGGCTGAGGTTGGAGGATTGCTAGAGCTGAGGTGTTAGAAGCTGTAGTGAGCTGTGATCACATCACTGCACTCCAGCCTGGGCAACAGAGTGAGACCCTGTTTCTAAAATAAAGAAAAGGGGCTGCCAGCTAAACAGACACAGTATTGAGTTGATTTACAAGACGTGAAAATGTTAATCATAGCCACCTTGAGTTTTCAGGCCTTTTCTACCCTGATTAACAGTGACATTGAACCATTCTTCTGTTGACTCCTTATCTTAAATACCCACAAAACCAGAATGAGTTGATGTTTCATAAGAACAATGAAGGATCGCATTCCTTTACCATTGCTAGCACTGGTTAGAAATTGTATTTTATAGTTTTCAGATAATCTTTGCTAATTTTGTGTATATTTCTGTGTATCCCTTATATAGCACCTCAGGCAAGTAGGAGTGGCTGGGAAGTTTGTTGAGTTTTTTGGAAGTGGAGTTTCACAATTATCTATAGCTGATCGAACTACAATAGCAAACATGTGTCCGGAATATGGTGCTATCCTCAGCTTTTTCCCTGTGGACAATGTGACATTAAAACATTTAGAACATACAGGTAAGAAGATAAAAGATCATTAGAATAAACGTGTTACATTTCCAATGTGTTTGATAATATTTTATAAATTACTACGTTATACATGTTATTTAGTATTCACAAAATCATTACATTTTGTTGAAACAACGGCTGTCAAGTAAACATCAGATGTCTTTAAAGAGTGTTGTGTCCTCAAACCCTAGTTCTCTGTGACCCATTGAAAGCAGTTTAAAGGAATTATTCAAACCATTGATCCTAACCTGACTGTTTCCCCATAATGATGGATAACTCCACCTCCCCTTAGGGGTCAGAGGTTGCAGTTTAATGGAAGTCAGCCTTAAACATATTCATAGCACTTCCCTTCTACAACCAAGAGTAGAGGACCTATCAGACAAAGGGGTTTGGGAATCAGTTTTCTATCTAAAGAACCAGAAGCACAAAATTTTGCAGAAAACAGCATAGGACCACGGGTTCTAAATCTTTTTGTAACCTGATTAGGAATTTTGACTACTCATCTGTTGACTGTTTAGATTGAAATAGAAGGTACCTACTAAACAGGATATAACAGGATATGTTAATATTTCATAACGCTGCTATTTAAAAAGTAAGATCTTTTTAATCTCTAGTGGAGATCATTGTTGAGTTGCTCATTTCTAAGTTTAGATATATGTTTGGAGGATATATTCTAGTATTCTTCATTGTGGGGGCAGATTATTATGTTAGTGAATCAAACAGCAAAATTGATGAATGAGCCCCCCAAAAATGCAAAACTTCTGCATTTGAGTTGGTAGAACTTTCAAAGTAGAAATGATTAGAAGTGCCTCATTTCTTACATGTTAATCTTGAGTTAAGGTTTTAATGATCCTATGTAACAAATTATCCTAAAAGTTAGTGGCTTGCACGAGCAATAATATAGCTCATGGTTTCAGTGGGTCAGTAATTCAGACAGGACACAGTGGGGACAGCTCATCTCTGTTTCATGTCTTGGGCCTCAGCTGCAAGATTTGAAAGGCAGGGCCTGGAATCGTGAAGGCTTGTTCTGCTTGCATGTCTGACAGCAAGTTATGAGCTGTCAGCTGGGGACTTCGGTAAGGCTATCAAGCAAAACACCCTCCTGTGGTTTCTCTGGGTAGTCTGGGCTTTCTCACGTGGTACAGTCTCAAGGGTTAGGAGAAAGAGAAATGTAAATGAATATGTAAATACTATGTGCTTATCACTGGAATTCAGTACCCTTACCCCCAAAGATTTTAAAATTCCTTACTGAAGTCAGGCCCAGTATCTCACACCTAGCACTTTGGGAGGTTGGGGCAGGAGGATTGCATGAGAATCTCATGAGCCCAGGAGTTTGAGATATAGCAAGACCCTCATCTCTAGAAGAAAATTAAAAACTAGCCAGGTGTGGCAGTACACACTTGCAGTCGAAGCTACTTGGGAGGCTAAGGCGGGAGAATGACTTGAACCTAAGAGTTCAAAGCTTCAGTGAGCTATGATGGCACCACTGTACTCCAGCCTTGGTGACAGTAGTGAGACCCTGTTTCTAAAAATAATAAATTTATTGGCAGGGTGTGGTGGCTCATACCCAAAATCCCGGCCCTTTAGGAGGCCAAGGCAGGAGGATCACTTGAGGCTATCCTAGTCAGAACAACAAGATCCTCATCTGTACAAAACATTTTTTAAAAAGATTAACCAGGCACAGGGGTGTTCCCCTATAGTCCCAGCTGCTTGGGAAGCTGACATGAGAGGATTGCTTGAGCTCAGGAGGTCAAGGCTGCAGTGAGTTGTGATTGCAGCACTGCTCCAGCCTGGGCAACAGAGTGAAACCTAGTCTGAAAAAAATAATAAGTAAATAAATTTCTCACTGCATTTTGTTGTTGTTTTGTTCATCTTCGTTTTAGGTTTTAGCAAAGCCAAACTCAAGTCAATGGAAACATACCTTAAAGCTGTGAAATTGTTTCGAAATGACCAGAATTCTTCAGGAGAACCTGAATACTCCCAGGTATTTGCAGAATAACCCACCTAGTAAAGAGTGTAAATTGTGGGCCCAGTATGGTATAATCCCAGTGCTTTAGAAAGCCAGGGTGGGTTGATTGAGGTCAGGAGTTTGAGGCCAGCCTGGGCAACATGGTAAAGTCCTATCTCTGCAAAACAATGTAAACATTAGCTGGGCATGGCTTGTGCCTGTAAGTGCCAGCTACTAGGGATGCTGAGGTGGGAGGATCACTTGAACCTGGGAGGCGGAAGTTGCAGTGAGCTGAGATCATGCCACTGTACTCCAGCCTAGGTGACAGAGTGAGACTTGTGTCAAAAAGAAGAAAAAGTAAATTCCATAGTACCTGACCACCTGGATCTGAATCCCAGCTCTAAGATGTGTTAGCTGTATAAACTTGGGCAATTTATTTAGCCTTTCTGCCTCAGTTTTCTCACCTCTTAGATACGACAGTACTATCTGCCTTTCAGGATTCTTAGATAGATTAAATACAAATTCACAGAATAGTTCCAGACACATAGTAAGTGCTCAATAAAGGGTAGCTAATCTTTTTGTTGTGCTTTTTGAGACAGGGTCCAGCTCTCTCACCAGGCTAGAGTGCAGTGGCACAATCATGACTCACTGCAGCCTCAACCTCTGGGCTCAAGCAGTCCTCCCACCTTGGCCTCCCAAAGTGCTAAGATTACAGGCATGAGCTACCACCATGCCTAGTCCCCTTTTTGTTTTAATGCTATTATTATTATTTGATGTTATTATTTTTCAAGATACTTGGCAGGGCCTCATTTTACTGCCCAGGCTGGTCTCAAACCCCTGGCTTCCAGGGATCCTCTGGCTTTGGCCTCCGAAAGTGCTGGGATTACAGGCATGAGCCACTGGGCCTGGCTAAAGGGGTAGCTATTATTATTACTATTTAAGTAATGTTACTGTAGCCCATTGCTTTTATTTTATTCATTAATTTTAAATAGAGTTTTATTGTGAATTTTGTAATATTTTATGAGGCCTAGTTGTAGTTTGGAGGATTTTTTTTTTTTTATTTTTTTTTTTTGAGATGGAGTCTCGCTCCTGTTACCCACGCTGCAGTGCAATGGCGCGATCTCGGCTCACCGCAACCTCCGTCTCCTGGGTTCAGGCAATTCTCCTGCCTCACCCTCCTGAGTAGCTGGGATTACAGGCACGCACCACCATGCCCAGCTAATTTTTTGTATTTTTAGTAGAGACGGGGTTTCACCATGTTGACCAGGATGGTCTCGATCTCTTGACCTCGTGATCCACCCGCCTCGGCCTCCCAAAGTGCTGGGATTACAGGCTTGAGCCACCGCGCCCGGCCGGGATTTTTTTCATAGAGGGTTTTGCCATGTTCCCCAGGCTGGTCGTCTTTTTTAATTTAAGTTCTGGGGTACGTGTGCAGATCATGCAGGATTGTTACATAGGTATACACATGCCATGGTGGTTTGCTGCATCCATCCTCCCGTCATCTACATTAGGTATTTCTTCTAATGTTACCCCTTCCCAATCCTCCCACCCCCTGCTATCCCTCCCCTAGCTCCTCCATCCCCCAACAGGCCCCAGTGTGTGATGTTCCCCTTCCTGGGTCCACGTGTTCTCATTGTTAACACCCACTTATGAGTGAGAACATGCCGTTTTGGTTTTCTGTTCTTGTGTCAGTTTGCTGACAATGATGGTTTCCAGTTTCATCCATGTCCCTGCAAAGGACATGAATTCATCATTTTCTATGGCTGCATAGTATTCCATGGTATATATGTGCCACGTTTTCTTTATCTAGTCTATCATTGATGGGCATTTGGGTTGGTTCCAAGTCTTTGCTCTTGTGAACAGTGCCACAGTAAACATACATGTGCATGTGTCTTTATAATAGAATGATTTATAATCCTTTGGGTATATACCCAGTAATGGGATTGCTGGGTCAAATGTTATTTCTAGTTCTAGATCCTTGAGGATTCATCACACTGTCTTCCACACTGGTTGAACTAATTTACACTCCCACCAACAGTGTAACCACCAACAGTGTAAAAGCATTTCTGTTTCTCCACATCCTATCCAGCATCTGTTGTCTTCAGATTTTAGTGATTGCCATTCTAACTGACGTGAGATGGTATCTCATTGTGGTTTTGATTTGCATTTCTCTAATGACCAGTGATGATAAGCATTTTTTCATATGTTTGTTGGCCACATAAATGTCTTCTTTTGAAAAGTACCTGTTCATATCCTTTGACCACTTTTTGATGGGGTTGTTTGTTGTTTTCTTGTAAATTTGTTTAAGTTCTTTGTAGATGCTGGATATTAGCCCTTTGTCAGATGGGTAGATTGCAAAAATGTTTTCCCATTCTGTTGGTTGCCAGTTCACTCTAATGATAGATTCTTTAGCTGTGCAGAAGCTCTTAAGTTTAATTAGATCCTGTTTGTCTATTTTGGCTTTTGTTGTTATGCCCGGGCTGGTCTTAAACTTATGGCTTTAAGCAATTCCTCCTGCCTTGGCCTCCCAAATTGCTGGGATTACAGATGTGAACCACCCACGCCCAGCCTATGAAGTCCAATTTTTTAGTGTTTAAAGTGATCATAGTGACTCTTAATTCTTTGCTCTAATTTATTTCTACTTTATGATAAGAGTAATATCTTCCTCCAGAATAATCAGTTTTGATGTTACCTGCATCTGGTTTACTTGTATATTTTGCAAAATTCCATTATTAATGATATACGCCATTATGCAGTCTTACATGTTAAAGATATTTTACAATCTAAGTAAATAATTACCTGAAATTAGCCAGGAGTAGTGGCATGCTCCTGTGGTTCCAGATACTCAGGAGGCTGAGTAGGGACGATTGCTTAAGCCCAGGAGGTCAAGGCTACAGTGAGTCATGATCGTGCCACTGCACTCTAGCCTGGGTGACAGAGTGAGACCCTGTCATATTATCTGTTGGAAATTTATATCAAAATAGGTAGAATTCACTTCCAGGGAAGTCTTAATTTTAATAAAATTCATTTTCTAGGAGGGTGTCAGTGATCTCTAACAACATGGTATCACGGGTTTGGTTAACCGTTAAGCTATTTTTTGTGAGGAAATCTATTGTCTTGCCCATCTTCACTTTTTCTCATAGCATGCTCCTGTCTGGCATTATTTATTTTTTGGTATACTGTTTGTCTAGAATACAAGTAAGCTCCCTGTCTAAAATACAAGTAAACTCCATGAGGACAGGAACTTTGGCTTGGTATTATATCCCCGGCTTCTAGAAAAATGCCTGATACACAGTAGATGTTCACTAAACGTGTTAGGTGAATAAATAAATACATATAACCATATTGAAGGGCCAGCATAGGACCCATAGAAATTGAATTTGTATGCTACATTGGGCAAATCTTTTTACTTCTGATCATTTTTAAATCACTTTCACCTTTATTTGTTAAATCTAGTGCTTTGTCCACTTTTTTTCCTTGTTCACTTTTTTTTTTTTTTTTGAGACAGCGTCTTGCTCTGTCGCCCAGGCTGGAGTACAGTGGCATGATCCCTGCTCACTGCAACCTCTGCCTCCTGGGTTCAAGCAGTTCCCTGCCTCAGCCTCCTGAGTAGCTGAAATTATAAGCATATAGCACCATGCCTGGCTAATTTTTGTATTTTTAGTAGAGATGGAGTTTCACCATCTTGGCCAGGCTGGTCTTGAACTCCTGACCTCGTGATCCACCTGCCTCGGCCTCCCAAAGTGCTGGGATTACAGGTATGAGCCACCACGCCTGGCCTCTTTTTCACATTTTTTAAAATACATAAATGGAAAGAATAAGAAAAATGGGAAAACTTGGTTGGTAGAATAAAATGGAATAAATGTGCCTGTTAAAAATCCTTGGCCAGGTGCAGCGACTCATGCCCATAATCCCAGCACTTTGGGAGGCCAAGGCGGGCAGATCACCTGAGGTCAGGAGTTCAAGACCAGCCTGGGCAAGATGGTGAAACCCTTTCTCTAGTAAAAATACACACACACACACACACACACACACACACAATCCAGATGTTGTAGTGTGTGCCTGTAATCCTAGCTACTCAGGAGGCTGAGGCATGAGAATTGCTTGAACCCAGGAGGCAGAGATTGCAGTGAGCTGAGATGATACCGGTGCACTTGAGCCTGGGCAACAGAGAGAGACACTGTCTTTAAAAAAGAAAAAAAAAATCCTCACCAGGCCAAGTGTGGTGGCTCATGCATGTAATTACAACCCTTTGGGAGGCCAAGGTAAGAGGATTACATAAAGGCCAGAAGTTCAAGACCAGCATCATAAACAAGGACGCATCCCTACAATAAAAGGATGGATGGCTTGAGTCCATGAGTTTGAAGCTGCAGTGAGCTGTGAGCATCACTGCACTCCAGCCTTGAGGGATAGCAAGACCTGCCCAGGCTGGAGTGCAGTGGTGCAATCTCGGCTCACTGCAACCTCCACTTCCCCACCTCAGGCGGTTCTCCTGCCTCAGCCTCCTGAGTAGTTGGGATTACAGGGCCGCACTACCATGCCCGGCTATGTTGTGTATTTTTAGTAGAGATGGGGTTTCACCATGTTGGCCAGCTGGTCTCAAACTCCTGACCTCAGGTGTTCTACCTACCTCAGCATTCCAGAGTGCTGGGATTACAGGCATGAACCACTGCACCTGGCCGAAGACCCTGTCTCTAAAGAAAAAGTGAAAATAAACCTGACTGTATAAAGAAATAAAACTAAAATCGTTAGGATATTGATTTCAAGAGAAACTTCTTAAATGCATAATTATGGGCAATGAGCAGGATCACCTGAATCCATTAAATGAAAGTATAAGTAAGCCAGGTGTGGTTGCTTATGCATGTAATCCCAGCACTTTGGGAGGCTGCGGTGGAGGATTGCTTGAGCTCAGGACCAACCTAGGCAACCTAGTGAGACCTTGTCTCTACTAAAATTCTATTAGCTAGGCGTAGTGGTGCATGCCTGTAGTCCCAGCTACTTGGGGTGGAAGATCGCTCGAGCCCAGAAGTTTGAGGCTGTAGTTAGCCCTGATTGTGCCAGTGTGCTCCAGCCTGGGCAACAGAGAACCTTTCTCAATAGAAGTAATAATAAATAAGTGTAAGTTGGTTGGATCAGTCAGAATAAACATGGATATAAAATAATGATGAAAGCCATGATGAAAAGTTTCAAATTGGTTATATTCACATAAATGCATGAAGGAAATGGTAGAAGTACCAGAAGAAATAAATAGAAATCTAGTTGGGAAGTGGAATTTTTAACAAAATACCATACAGTTTCCTAACCAAGGAATAATAGCCTGGGCTGTAGCAGGCTGGGCAGTGAAACCCTCTGCAACTCTGCTGTGTCCCTTCAGCACCCTCTAGTGACCAGTCTTCATATTGTGTGCTGACAATGGAGAAATGTTTCCTAACCGTTGACCTCTGTGATCACAGAGCTGGCAAAGGAGGGTGGATTTGGAGCTCAGGGGCAATAAGTTGATAGCTGACACAGGCATCTATCTTGTCATTGGACATCTGTTAAGACAGTGTTTATCTTTGTGGGAAGACACACTTGGAAAACCACAGATTTTATATATACAGTACAGTTACTGTTGTAGTAGTTTAACTGCATGCTGATCTAGTCTTTTAGCAAATTTTCATGTTTCATACATTTAAATGGGCTTGTTTTTTTGTTTTTGAGACAAGAGTCTCGCTGTTGCCCAGGCTGGAGTGCAGTGGCGCGATCTTGGATCACTGCAACCTCCACCTCCTGGGTTCAAGTGATTGTCCTGTCTCAGCCTCCTGAGTGGCTGGAACTGCAGACGCATGCCACCACACCCGGCTAATTTTTTGTATTTTTAGTAGAGATGGGGTTTCATCATGTTAACCAGGATGGTCTCAATCCCCTGATCTCAAGATTCGCCCGCCTCTGCCTCCCAGAATGCTGGGATTACAGGCGTGAGCCACTGTGTCTGGCCATGGGCTTGTTTTAAGATCTTCATTTCTTGGGGTTGAGTTGATGTGTTACACCATTAAAATAAATTGCATTAAAATAAATATGAGTATACTCATTCTGCTTTAGAAAGTAATGCTTGAGGTTGGGCGCGGTGGCCCACGCCTGTTATCCCAGCACTTTGGGAGGCCAGTTTGGGCAGATCACAAGATCAAGAGATTGAGACCATCCTAGCCAACATGGTGAAACTCCGTCTCTACTAAAAGTAGAAAAATCAGGGCCGGGCGCGGTGGCTCAAGCATGTAATCCCAGCAGTTTGGGAGGCCGAGGCAGGTGGATCACGAGGTCAAGAGATCGAGACCATCCTGGTCAACATGGTGAAACCCCGTCTCTACTAAAAATACAAAAAATTAGCTGGGCATGGTGGTGCGTGCCTGTAATCCCAGCTACTCAGGAGGCTGAGGCAGGAGAATTGCCTGAACCCAGGAGGCGGAGGTTGCAGTGAGCCGAGATCGCGCCATTGCACTCCAGCCTGGGGAACAAGAGTAAAACTCCCCCTCAAAAAAAAAAAAAAAAAGAAAAAAGAAAAATCAGCCAGGCATGGTGGTGCGTGCCTGTAGTTCAGCTACTCGAGAGGCTGAGACAGGAGAATCGCTTGAACCCGGGAGGTGGAGGTTGCAGTGAGCCAAGATTGTGCCACTGCACTTTAGCCTGGCGACAGAGTGAGACTCTGTCTCAAAAACAAAACAAAACAAAAGTAATGCTTGAATTGGAATCTATAGTAAGGAAATTTCTTGTTCTTTCTCTTTCTCATTTCCTAGGTGATCCAGATAAATCTGAATTCAATAGTTCCATCTGTTAGTGGTCCAAAAAGACCTCAGGATAGAGTTGCTGTGACAGATATGAAAAGTGATTTCCAGGCTTGCTTAAATGAAAAGGTAGGTTTCTTTATTGTTACCCATGTTTGTCAACATGCTTTGTGCTAAGTCGTAAAGAACTAACAAAGTGATCCATAAACTCAGTTCACTGCTGTGCGTTATATATTAGAGTACACACCAGCAGCCCCCTTATTTTTCTTCTGACTGATGTGCAAGTCAGTCATTTGGTAAGCTTACTCCCATTTCCATTGTGAGGATCAGAGATTGATTGTGTCTATTTAAATTCAAATTATATAAAATTTAAAATTGAGTTTCTTAGTCACAGTAATCTCATTTTTAAATGTTGAATAGCTACATATGGCTCTTGGATTGATGAACAGCATAGATAAATGAATATTTACATCTTCACAGAAACTTTTTTTTTTTTTGAGACTGAGTTTCACCCTGTTGCCCAGGCTGGAGTGCAGTGGTGCAATCTCAGCTCACTGCAACCTCCTCCTCCCGGGCTCAAGCGATTCTCCTGCCTAGTATTTGGCTTTCCTTTTAGAGCTTTTCTTTTTATGATTTCTTGACTTTTTGTTCAAAGTTTAAACTTGTATAAAAACAAAATAGTCTACTGAATTGCCATATACCTGTCACTTAACTCAATAATTACCAACTTATAGCCAATCTCATTTCATCTATACTGCACTCACACACATAGGATCCCTTTGGAGCAAATCTTCAGGGTCATTTTAACAAAAAAAGTTAGTGCCATCTCTTGAGAATTACTGTAAGCAGGGGTGATGGAGAACAACAAAGCCAAATAAGATCTGGATTGTGGGTGGTCGGCTGGCCTCGCTTAGTAGATAAAAGTTTTGCTTCAGAACATCACCAGACTCCTGTCGTGCTTATGCAGATTCATGCTTCAGCTGAATTACAACTACTGAATGTTATGGGCCTTCAGCATCACTCACAAACAGGATTTTTAAATGTTAAATCATCAAATGTCAGGTGTCTGCAATGTTTTCTATCAGTCTTTTATTCTGTACATACCCAGAATATTTAGTTTATATTTTTGTGGAAATTTATGTAGGTTGGATTTAAAGGCTTCCAAATTGCAGCTGAAAAACAAAAGGATATTGTCTCCATTCATTATGAAGGAAGTGAATATAAGCTGTCTCATGGATCAGTGGTCATTGCTGCAGTTATCAGTTGTACCAATAATTGCAATCCATCTGTCATGCTTGCTGCAGGTAGGTTGTGGTTTATGGCCATACATTTTTTTTTTTCCCAAAATTATTGTTAGCTTTTCTGTTATATTAACTTTTTGTTTCTTAGATATGCATGAATATCGGTGTCTACATTTGATATTGAGAGACTTTCTGATATCTTAATTAGGTCTTAAGGAGCCTGAGTTTAATTTATGTTATTAATTTTGTTTTTATTACACAGAAAGTAAATTTACTGTTTACTATAACTTACCTATCAATTAATTTTAGGTTGTATTTGCTTCTCTTGTTATTTAGAAGTATAGTTAATTAGCAGGTATTTCCTGATTATCTAGAAATTAGCCATAACAGTGTGGTAGATTTCATTAAAAATTATAAAGGTAGTGAAAGATCATTGTCTTGGCAAGGATTGTAAGTGAAATCAATTCGTATACCCATTGGAACAATTCCTTAGTTGTATAAAACGATGCATAATGTGTTATATTGCCCTTAGCATATTGTGATTATGACTTAAAAAATGGTTCGGTTTAGAAAAAAAAAGAAAAAGAGAAGAAAGAGAAAAAAATATTTTGTTAATATCTACTTAAACGTGCATCGTTTGTTTCCATTTGTGTGAATGTCATCTGCCTATATCTTAATAATTTTGAACATGAAGACTAGTATATTTACTGCAATTTTAAATTTGTCATAAATGAAGCAAATTAGTAGAATAAAGTAGACAAAATAATGACAATAAGTTTATAAATTCAGACTTTTTCTCTAATCTGAATTGGCGATGAAATCTGTTAAATTATTTCTCACCTTCTTCTTCGAGTGAGAGAGGGAAAGAAACATTGCCATAATAAATCATTGTTTGTTGACTGTGCAGGTCTTTTGGCTAAAAAGGCTGTGGAAGCTGGTCTGCATGTTAAACCTTACATAAGAACAAGTTTATCTCCAGGCAGTGGGATGGTTACACATTACCTCAGTTCAAGTGGAGTATTACCATATCTCAGCAAGCTTGGGTAAGTGGCAGCTGTCTCTCTATACTGATGTTGATGTTCAGTAGGTACTGAAGCTGCTTGTTTGGGCCTTTCATATACAAAGAGAAGGCAGAAAAAATATGCTTTAGTTTTACTTGCTACCTTGCCATTACCATACAATTTTCGAAGGCTTATCACTCAGGAAACACTTACTGGGCATATCAACTGAGCAAAACACCACGTTGGATACGTAGAAGTAGGAGATGTGGTCTTAGCTTCAGGGTACTTAGTTGGAAAGACAAGACAAACAAGTACAACCAAGTAACAGTCGCAGTGTAAGAAACAGTACCAAGTATACACAATTTCTGTGAGCTGCACAGGTCAGTTCCGAAAAGAAAGAAATCTTATCGTTTACATTTATTAGCTGAAAATTGTCTTAATTTTAGTTTTATGAGGTTATTGGATCTATAACACATAAGTTTAAATTGTCCCTGAACTTTGGAGAAAGTAACGTGTTTTTAATGTAATCAGAAACAATTGATGCTAGTTGTGTGGGGATTTTTTTGTTTTTGAGACAGTGTCTTGCTCTGTTGCCCACACTGGAGTGCAGTGGTGCAATCACAGCTCATTGCAGCCTCAACCTCCTAGGCTCAAACAGTCCTCCTGCCTCAGCCTCCTAAGTAGCTGGGACCACAGGTGTGTACCACCACACCCAGCTAATTTTTGTATTTTTAGTAGAGACAGTTTCTCCGTGTTGGCCAGGCTCGTCTCAGACGCCTTGCCTCAAGTGATCCACTCGTCTCAAGCCCTGCAAAATCTTGTGATTACAGGCCTGAGCTACCACACCCAGGCTAGTTAGGTTTTCAGTGTGTATTTTGGAATATATGAGTCATCAATTCCTGTGCAAAACTGATGAATTTTAGATTTTTTGCTCTTAGAATATTATCTGTAAGTAATTTAGAGGATTATAGCTGTAATCTTTTAGTTATATCATCTTGGATTTATTGTCAGGGACTCTTCTTGGGTTTAATTGGTTGATAATTGAGGCATTACTCCTATCAGAGTGCCCAATTATAATACCTCTTTTGGGACCTTTGGTCAGGTTATTATAGCCAGGTCCTCTGATACTTTACATTTTAAACCCCTTGGATGGAAGTATACTATCAATTGTTTTAAAAGGTCATGTTATATTCCTAGCAAGTAGTATTTGAGAAGTTTTCTTGTACAGTGATAAGTGCTGTTAAGGCTCTTCAAAGGTTTACCTTCACTATAAATAGCATGCCTGAGAGTTAGACTTGATTGCTCAGAATGTTGTGAAAGGAATATATTGATGGAGTTTAATCCATGTGTCATGAATAGTCTTTTAAGTAATCTTATTACAGAGGTGGAAATAGAAGATAAAACTTGTCCTTTCTCTATAAATGTTGTGTTGTGCTATTGAATCACTTTTTTTTTTTTTTTTAAATGCAGATTTGAAATAGTTGGCTATGGATGTTCAACATGTGTGGGAAATACAGCACCCTTATCAGAAGCAGTTTTGAATGCAGTAAAACAGGTAAAATGTTTGGATTGGCAAGATACCTAAGTGATTTTCTTAACGTTTTGTTATTAAATTATAGAAAGTATATATTGATGTCTTTGTGTTTCTGTATACTCTGTACTTCTTGGCAATAATAACCTGTGAATCTTTAAATGATTCAAAGACTCATTTGTAGGGCCTTGAAATAATTCCTTAATAATGTGAGGAATTGATTGAGTTTATTCACAAGTTGGATAGTTCTATATTTAAAAATTAGTAATATGTTTCTTGGTTAAGCTTGCCCTCAGACCTTAATATTTAAGATTGCTTACATATGATTATCCAGATTTGTACCATCTTTAGAATTGAATATATTTGTGTGTGTGTGTTTCTTTTTTTTCAGGGTGATTTGGTTACCTGTGGAATTTTATCTGGAAACAAAAATTTTGAAGGTCGTCTTTGTGATTGTGTTCGTGCCAATTATCTTGCCTCTCCACCCTTAGTGGTAGCTTATGCCATAGCAGGCACAGTGAATATAGATTTCCAGACAGAACCTTTAGGTATCTTTTTCTTTATGTCTATGTATACCTACACATACTTTTTTCCACCGAAGTTGTTATATTTGTTAAATGTTTCTTAGACCATCTGTTCTTTGAATTATTTCAGGAAAATTTATGATAATGTATAGTTATTAATTTCTGTGTTTACAAGAAGAAAATAAAATGTGCAGGTAATTAGTTCTTCCAGCCGCTTAAACCTGTAGCACCCTGTTGAATCTTTTACTTGGTTTCCATGATATGTCTTTGAAAAGGTATGAACATTTTCAGAGAGTTGTTTTTTTACTGAGTATCATGTTCAAAAATTTTAACCAGGTACTGACCCTACTGGCAAGAACATTTACCTGAATGATATTTGGCCTAGTCGAGAAGAAGTTCATCGGGTTGAGGAAGAACATGTTATACTATCCATGTTTAAAGCATTAAAAGAGAAAATAGAGGTAAGAGTCTTAGGTGTTTCTTAAATAGTTTAATCAATTTGCAGTGTTCTTATTTCATATATCTTATCTTCTGAATAGAATAAAAATTTACATGATTTTGAATGCAGTTTTTAATGTGTAATCGTTTGTATCTGGAATCTATAATTAACAAGAAAATTGCTTAGAGTTATCAGAATTGATTGGGTGTTGATTGAATGATCCATGCAGCAAACCACTGTAGCACATGTTTACCTATGTAACAAATCTGCACATCCTACACATGTACCCCAGAAGTTAAAATAAAAGTTTAGGGGGAAAAGAAAGAATTGATTAGGTGTTTGAATACATCAGTGAACAAAACACAAAATTTCCCTGGGGAGAGGCAAATAAACTTCAAGAATAATTAAATTATACAATGTTTGTTATTTTTTATTATTTATTTTTTGGGAGATGGCACACTACTCTGTCACCCAGCCTGGAGTACAGTGGCCTGAACCAGCTCACTGCAGCCTCAACCTCCTGTGCTTAAGCAATCCTGCTGCCTCAGCCTCCCAAGTAGCTGGGACCACAGGTGCTCGCCACCAACCCCAGCTGATTTTTTTATTTTTTGTAATATAAAAAATAAAAATGCTCAGGCTGGTCTCAAACTCCTGGACTCAAGTGATCCACCCACCTCAGCCTCCCAAAGTGTTGAGATTACAGGCATGAGCCACTGCGCCTGGTCTGAGTAATGGTGACATGTTTGCCTGTAGTTTGAAGGCTTTGGTGTGGAACAAATATATGTTGAAGAAGCGGAAGGTTTTCTCCATTATAATATTCTTAGATGTTAACAGCATACCTCATGCATCCTTAGTCCCTCTTTAATAACATATAGAGATCTTTCTAAATTCTTTACTCTTGTGGACTCTGTAAAGTCTTTATGTTCAGATTATATTGAAACGTGCCTCTTAGAGTGTTCATGAAGATCTGGTATGCTAGAATTTGAGGAGCAAATTTTTAATCATTCTGTCCAAAATACGTGATGATTTTTTTTTTAGAATACACTGTTCTGGCTGGGCGCGGTGGCTCACACTTATAATCCCAACACTCTGGGAGGCCAAGGTGAGAGTATTGCGTGAGCTCAGGAGTTTGATACTAGCCTGTGCAAAAATAAAAATTTTTAATTTAAAAAAAATAAGAGTACACTTTAATTTTCCTTCCAGGTGGTTAAGACCTATTTTGTTGTTGTCCTGACTTATTTTATTCCCTTGATCATTTTCATACACCTCTTTTTCTGAGTCCTTTTATCTTTGCTTTGGTTCATCAACCAAAACTATATTCACAGATGGGGAATAAACGGTGGAATTCCTTAGAAGCACCGGATTCAGTTTTGTTTCCTTGGGACTTAAAGTCTACTTATATCAGATGCCCTTCATTTTTTGATAAACTTGTAAGTACTATTTCACCATTTGATCTTTTAAAGATTATTATAAACTAAGAAGTTTTATAAAGAGTTAATGCCTTGAACTTTTACCTTCTAGACCAAAGAGCCAGTTGCACTTCAGCCTATTGAAAATGCCCATGTCTTATTATATTTGGGAGACTCTGTCACAACAGATCATATATCACCTGCAGGAAGTATCGCTAGGAATAGTGCTGCCGCTAAGTATTTGACGAACAGAGGGTATGTGTACATGGCTTTAGAATGTTTTTGTTTTTTCTTGTTTCTTACTAAGAGGCTTCTATTGGTCACGTTCATTTTTTCATTAAATACACATTATCGTAGGTATCTGACTGCCAGTGTGTTTGTCGTAAGCAAGAATGGAGAATGGCGGGGGAACCTGTTGCACCTGTCTTTGCTTGTAACTTTAGAAAATGAAATTGAAATTTTAAATTGAGTCCTTATAGTCTAAATAAACAACTGATTGGAAATAAGATTTTTTGTTTTCAGTGCTACTTTATTGAAAAGTCAGCTTTGTTTGACCTACCAAATGAAGTCTGCTCATTTGGTTAAAACCAACCTCCCATTATTGGAGTAAGGAATTTAAGTGTGTATTTTATGGGCTATAAAATGTATATGTGTGAGGCTGGGAATGATGCGTATCAAATCAAAAGACAATGAATTTTCTGCTTCATGAGCCTAAAATTTTATAGGAACAATAAATGTAAAGGCCATTTATATTGGAGATATAAATTTAAAACTGATAAGATTTTATTTCATTTCTACATTAATCACATAGAGTTGCTCTGTTATCAAAGCACTGTTTTGACAACAGAGACAAAGTTTTGCTAAAAGCAGAATTTGTAATACTGCTACCTGCTTAGCTTATTGGATGGATGCTTGTTTGATGCTGGAGTAATTAAAATGACAAGCTTTTTCATTGAAATGTTTTTTGTTTTGTTTTGTTTTTGAGATAGTCTTGCTCTGTCGCCCAGACTGGAGTGCAGTCGTGCAATCTCAGCTCACTGCTACCTCTGCATCTCAGGTTCAAGCGATTCTCCCATCTTAGCCTCCCACCTAGCTGGGATTACAGGCACGCGCCATGAGGCCTGGCAAATTTTTGTATTTTTGGTAGAGATGGGGTTTCACCATGTTGGCCAGGCTGGTGTCAAACTCCTGACCAAGTGATCTACCCACCTTGGCCTCCCAAAGTGCTGGGATTCCAGGCATGAGCCACCGTGCCCAGCCAAAATGTCATATAAATATCAATACAACATAGCTTGTCTTGACGTGATAATACTGCATAGCTTTCATTATAAAGTGGTGAGAAATAAGTTTTCTTTCCCATAAATGTTTTTTGTTGTGATTTCCATCTTGGTCATAATTGTGACATACTTCCAAAAAAAACCAATCAACATTTCTCTCAAATGTACAATTTTTGTAATTATTATGCTTTCTGGTATGTATTTCTTAGCACATTTAATCCAGCAGTCCTCATCAATTAGAATTTTCTAAAAATAAAGACACTCAAACCTCCTACCACTTCTATCCTGAAGTAAGAAATGTAAAGGTACAAATTTAGAGTATTGTTGCCTCTGCATAAAAAACCAAATCAGAGGCTGAAAAGAGTCGCTCATTGACTGTTGAGATACTTAGTTTCAGTTATTTTTCCCTAAAAAGTTATATATAGTTACTAATCCAGTAGCAATGAACACCCTTAGCACCCAGATTATGATTTCTAAATATTGTTTCCCAGTACTGTGAACCAGTGCTTCATGAAGAAATTATTGATTCCAGAGCTGGAACTGGAAAATGTACATGATTTTACCAAAAATCACCAAGATTACCAAAAACAAGGGAGCTGTCAGAGACCACTAGGCTTCTGTCAAAAGATCTCAGGGCCAGGACCAGCTCATTAGTTTGAAAACTGGTAAATAATCAATTCTTTAAGCAGCGTTTCTTACATGGAATGTATTTCAGCATAACCAAATCACTGATGAAGGAAAGTTTGTCTTTTGTTTCTGGGTTTTTTTTGGATTTTTTTTTTTTTTTTTTTGAACCTCGCTCTGTTGCCAGGCTGGAGTGCAGTGGCGCAATCTTGGCTCACCGCAATCTCTGCCTCATGGGTTCAAGCAATTCTGCCTCAGCCTCCCCTGTAGCTGGGACTACAGGCACGTGCCACCAGGCGCAGCTAACTTTTGTATTTTTAGTAGAGACGGGGTTTCACCATGTTGGCCAGGAGGGTCTCAAACTCTTGACCTCACGATCCGCCCATGTTGGCCCCTGAAAGTGCTGGCGTTATAGGCATGAGCTAAGGCGTCTGGCCTGTTCGTTTGTTTCTAGAGACAGGGTCTTACTCTTGCCCAGGGTGGAGGGCAGTGGCAGTTGGCCCTCTTCTGCCTGGAACTCCTGGGCTCAAGCAGTTTTCCTGTCTCATCCTCCTGAGTAGCTTGGGACTACAGGCTCACACCATCATGCCTTGATAATGTTTAAATTTTTTGTAGAGATGAGGCCTCCCATTGTTGCACAGGCTGGTCTCCAACTCACCGGCTCGAGCAGTTCTCCTGCTTTGGCCTCCCAAAGTGCTGGTACTGTAGGCATGAGCCACCATGCCTGCCAGAAAGTTTTTCTTTAAGTTTTCTAGCTAAAAAATGAAGAAGGAATGATTGAATTGTAGTATCGCTATTTTACAGTCTCTAATAAAATAAGCAATCTAGACCACAATGAGCAATCACTGGTAACATTCCAGAAAAAGACAATTGGCTATCTTGTGTCTCCTAATAGAAGTAGGTATGACCTATGAAGCATTGTTGCCCAAAATTAAAAACTCAAATCTTGTCAAGCCACTGGATCTGACATGTGGTTTACAAGAACAGAAGGTAGAATAACATGTTAAATGATCCATAGAGAAGCAGTCAACACAATCTGGGTACAGAAAACTATCTATACAAGTGATGCCATTTCTTCAGATAGAGCACAAGCAGGAAGAAGGAGAGGGAACATATGTCACCAATTCTCAGTGTAGATGTGGCATTGGTTCCAGGACCACCCATGCATACCCAGTTCCACAGATACTGAATTCCTACAGTAAATCCTGCAGAAGCCACATGTATGAAAAGTCATATGTGCAGTTTTCTGCATCCTGTGATGAATACTATGTTTTCTGTCAGCGTTTGGTAGAAAAAAATCCATGGATAAGTGAACCCACACAACAAAAATTTATGTTGTTTAAAGGTCAACTGTAGATTAAAAGACTTGAAGTCAACTGAACGCATTAATGAACTGCATTTGAATCAACCAACTTATAAAAAAATAGTTTGGAAATAATCAGTGACATTTGAATATTGACTATCTCATGTTAAGAAATTATTGTGGGGTTTTTTTTGGTATAAAGATTTTTAAGAGTCTACATCTTTTAGTGAAATACTGAAATGTATGCTTTTAAAATATATCTCGGTTTAGCTTCAGAATAATCTAATGGGGTTGACTGTAGCAAAGAATCCGTAAGATACAGCTTGGTGATAGGTGCGTGGACATTCATGGTTTTGGTTTAATTCGTGTTTGAAATTTTCCATGATAAAAAAATATTTTTTAACAAGTTTTACAACTCAATAATACGTGATTATTCTCCATATGTAATGAAAACTGACTTTCATTACTTTCTTGTAGCCTTACCCCTCGTGAATTCAACTCTTACGGAGCTCGAAGAGGTAATGATGCTGTAATGACAAGAGGCACTTTTGCAAATATCAAGCTTTTTAATAAGTTTATTGGAAAACCAGCTCCCAAAACAATTCATTTTCCATCAGGACAGACGGTGAGGATGTACACAAAGTATTTAGACAGTTTCTAACTGGATCAAAATTTGTATTAAAGATTTTTTTGTTTGTTTTAATCTACAGCTAGATGTATTTGAGGCTGCAGAGCTGTACCAGAAAGAAGGTATCCCACTGATTATTTTAGCAGGAAAGAAATATGGTTCCGGAAACTCTAGAGACTGGGCTGCCAAAGGACCATATTTACTGGTATTAAATCTTAACATTTATCATTTTAAGCTTCAAAGAGTGTTAAATGTTCCCTTTTGTCAGTAACATCCTGTCAAAGCTTACTTGGATTTGGATTTTTTATAGTTATTTAAACCTTATAGGTATAGAGTTTCTTTTTTTTGTGTGTGTGTGATCTTAGGTAATATTTTGTACTAATCTAGTTAGTATCATTTTAATACTCTGAGTTTAGTTAAACCTACATCAGTCTTAATGAAGAAGTCAGTATAGTAGAAGGAAAGGAAATTCTGGTTTGGTTTGGTTTGGTTTTTTTGAGATGGAATCTCGCTCCGTTACCCAGGCTGGCGTGCAGTGACATGACCTCAGCTCACTGTAACCTCTGCCTCCCAGGTTCAAGTGATTCTCCTGCCTCAGCCTCCTGAGTAGCTGGGATTACAGCTGCTCGCCACCACGCCTGGCTAATTTTTGTATTTTTAGTAGAGAAGGGGTTTTACCGTGTTGGTCAGGCTGGTCTTGAACTCCTGACCTCATGATCCGACCACCTCAGCCTCCCAAAATACTGGGATTACAGGTGTGAGCCACCACACTCAGCAGAAATTGTTTTAAACTATTGTTTTATAGTAATTATTTATACCTATTGATCATATTTTTTTTGGTTTTGAGACTGGGTCTCTGTCACCCAGACTGAGTGTGGGGGCTCGATCACTGCCACTGCCGTCATGACTCCCAAGTGCATCAGTTCTCCCACCTTAGCCTCCTGAGTACCTGGAATTACAGCCATCAGTCACCACACGTGGCCAGTTTTTGTATTATTTGTAGAGTTGGGATCTCCCTATGTTGCTCAGGCTGGTATTGAACTCCTTGATCCTCCCACTGCAGCCTCCCAAGGTGCTGGGATTACAGGCTTGAGCCACTGTGCCTGGTCCCCACTGTTAGTTTTACTTGCCTTCTTTTGATTTAATTTTCCCCAATTTGCCCCATCGGCACATAAGAGACTCAGAAGTAGTGGGCCAAGTTTCACCTTTTTTTCCCCCTAAATAGGAGATTGTGGTGCCTGGCTGTCTGCCAGGAGAACAGTTCTCCTGAGGCTGTTTCCTTGTTGCAGAGCAAATAGGCCATCTGCTGGGAAGAATAGTCATGTGACATGTGCTTTCTGCTATTTCATACTCACAAGTGCTTCTTTACAATTGTAGTTGTAAAAAGGCTGGCTGCAACACAGATGTCATGCAGACCTCATTCTTATTTTAATCTGTAATTTCTCCTTTAAAATGTAAATACTCTGAGGGGTATGGGAATAAACCAAAATCTCATCCTTCCAATATACTAATTACAAGTATTATTTATGAGTATTAATGGTAGGTATAGGTTCCTTTTATCCTGGAAATTGTCTTAGTCTTTGTTTCTGATGTTGGAAGCTTTCCGCATATGGCAGGTGATGCGTGGCTGTCCATTTGTTAGACATTCAAAAAACTGATTACAAGCTGTGGATGGGAGCTGGATTTGTCAGTGGACCTTACTGTAGGAGGTGATTGGTAGATAAGCCACCTTTTTCATTAAGAGATTCTGTATGTCATTATCTGTATTTTCTCTGAGGCCGCTCAGCTTCTTCAAGGAGAGAGACTCATTCAGGATGTAGACTTCTACTTAGTCCTCTGTTTTCAGTCTTGTATTCTCAAGCTTCCCCTATGCCCAGTGATTGTCAGTCTAGAGAACGTATTCTCTTTGTTATTTCTGCTATCACAAAAAATAAGTAAAAAAAAAAAAAAAATTTAAAAAGGGGTGATGGCACTCCCAAGGAATAAAAGTCGATTCTTAGGTGGTAAAAAAAAGTTTTACTTTTTACATATAAAGTACAGGCAAATATAGAGTACATAAAAAGATACACGGCATCTTAGTGGTATTAAAATTTTGGAGAGAAGAGGGGTGAACAGGAAGACACAATTATGGAAAAAAGTCTGAAAAGGCTTTTTAGGTAGACAGTGGAGAAAAAAGTTGAAAAACAGAAATCTAGAGCCTTTGGCTCATTTTTTCCAGAGAATAAACCTCTATTCTTCTGGAGTGGGGATTGAGCTGGATCTTACTGCTTTATGTGGCCTTATAACCTGTATCCCCCAGTATTCTGAGACCCTCCTACCTCTGAGTTTCAGTCCTTTTCCTGGGTCCTGTGTTGCACATTAACTCAGACCTTATTGGCGTCACTCCCTAATTTCATTTCATCATTCTCTAGTTTCAACACTGTAATCCAAATCAGTTACCTATCTCTGTCTTCTAAATATTCATAGAATTCATTCTGTTCCCTTTGTTGCTCTGGGCTTATAGCCTCTTTATTATTATTGTTATTTATTTATATATTTTGGAGACATGGTCTCATTCTGTTGCCCAGGCTGGAATGCAATGGCATGATCTCACCTCCCTGCAGCCTCCACCTACCAAGCTCAAGCAATTCTCCTGCCTCAGCCTTCCCAGTAACTGGGATTATAGATTATTTTTCTGAATTTCTGAATTTTTATGGAGCTCCCTAAATTATTTTGACACCCACCCCCGCCCGCCCCGCCGCCACCACGTCCAGCTAATTTTTGTGTTTTTAGTAGAGTCTGGGTTTCACCATGTTGGCCAGGCTAGTTTCAAACTCCTGGCCTCAAGTGATCTGCCTACCTTGGCCTTCCAAAGTGCTGGGATTGCAGGTATGACACACTGCATCCAGCCTATTCTTGTTATTTTTTATTTTATTTATTTATTTATTTCTATTTTTTTGTAGAGACAGGGTCTCAGTATATTTCCCAGGCTGATCTCAAACTCCCAGCCTCAGCCTCCAAAGTGTTGGGATTATAACCATATAAGCCACTGCACCTGGCCCCATATACCTTCTTTATTCGTTTATTTCAGTTTCATTTCAAGAGTGTTGAATGTTTGATCTGCTGTGTTTAAGTCCTATTTTGGGATCAAAGGAGCCGGCCCATTTATAGAGCTCTTATGATGTGGTAAGCAGTGGTAGTACCTAATCCTAGAGCAGCGGAGGGGGTCAGAATAATTTAGGGCGCTCCATAAAAATTCAGAAATTCAGAAAAATAATCTATAAAAAGCTTCTGTAAATACTTTGATAGCACATTGATTCAATATGAGGTATTAGACTAAAAGTGTTTAGAGAAAGGCCAGAGTAGATTTTTCTCCCCCTTTAAATGTTCAGTAAATAACTTTCAGAAGGAAAGTTATGAAGGAAATAAAATGCACATTTGTTACAGGGTGTGAAAGCTGTTTTGGCTGAAAGTTATGAAAAAATACACAAAGATCATTTGATTGGAATTGGCATAGCTCCACTTCAGTTCCTTCCAGGAGAAAACGCAGATTCCTTGGGCCTCTCCGGTAGAGAAACATTTTCTTTAACATTTCCTGAAGAACTGGCTCCCGGAATTACATTGAATATACAGGTATCTCTAAAATTTTCAAATATGATTATGCACTCTACTCAGATGTTTATGAATTAAGAATCAATTGCTGTAAATTATATACTAATGTCACTTAAAGAATGTTAAGTTGCTATTTAAAATGACTTTCCTTCATAATTAGATCTATGTTAATCATAGTTGGTGTTCTCTGAGGAAAAGTGGAAAGAACTGGATGCTTACACCAGAAAAAAGTACATGGAGGGGAATCTTGACTTCCACTTAACAAGTGTCAGCTTCCTTTTCATGGTTTTCAGTTTTTGCTGGCCTGATCTAATTTTAACCCAGGCATATATACCACTCCAAAGAGAAGGCAAAGTTGAACTTACAAGGGTAGAGCAGCACAGACTTCACAACTAAGAAAAAAAGGGAAACGAGTAGGAGTTATTGATTACATGCAATGAATATTTGGTGTAAAATGAATGTGAGTAGTGAGTATAACTTCCCCAATTAATAAGTCAATCTAACTGCAACTGTTTTTCTACTTAGCTGTGAAGCCCATGGTCAGGTATCTCAGGTGTTTTTCAGGCAATCAGAATATAGGAAATTAGAACCAGGAGAAATCAGACAGAATATGTGGCAAGTATAGTCATTGAATGGGAAGACAGATGGTCTTAACCATCAAGTAGCACCTGGAAGATTTACTTGCTCACATAAGATGTTTTTGTTTCTTTAAAGACGAGCACTGGAAAAGTATTCAGCGTGATTGCTTCGTTTGAAAATGATGTGGAAATAACATTATACAAACACGGAGGATTATTAAACTTTGTGGCACGAAAATCCTCATAGTATCTACTTACCATGGATACCTTTCATAACTAGTAACTGCAAAGCCTTTTGTGCTGGACCCAGGAATCCTTACCATGGAGCTACAGATAGTCCCATTATACTCACTTCTCTCATCCATGGATGTACATGATGATGAATCAACGTAGTGACTGAAATGAAATCTTCTTGATTTTAAATAATTTACGAATGGTGCTATTAACATTGCTAAAATCAACGTGTGAAGTGTGTTGTGGAAGAGACCTGTAAGTATGGGGGGGGATATTTTATCAGACCATTTTGTAAATAAAGGCAGAATTTGTGTTGAAGATTCTTATATGAATAACCTTCCTGGAGTTGTTTAGTTTTGCACCTATAAAACTGTGTACTACTGTTTGTTGGTTTAAGAGTAGCAGATTGAAATATAAGAAGCCAGATTAGACTCTAAAATTGTGGTCATTGGACTCTGATTTGTAAGTGGACCTTTAAAGTATATTAATTCCTTTTCAGTACTGAGCTGGACACATTTGGCATTCTGTTTGTCATATACCAGGTTTATCCTTAGTTTAACTGCAAGGGATAGAACCTTCCCCAGGTTACAATCATTCTGTCCAATCCAGCCAAGGTTCCTTCCACATGAGAAGATGGACCATGGCAAAATACAACTGATTGTGTGGCACTATGTATTAGTAGTGGAAATATGTATCACATATGATGCAGCCTTTAATTTTTCAGCAGTTTGCCGCTGTGACTATCTGGCAAGCCCCAGATGGCATTATATTAATTGGATTAGATTATTTTGCTCACCTATGTAATACTGTAACTTCTTACAACCTAGTATTTTCAGTATCATTAACCAAAATTTCACACTCATAGTTCCTAAAGAGAATGTTATTTAATCATTAAACTCTGAACTGGTTTCTTGTAGGCATTTAAATTATCTACCCTTAATTATATGGGTGGTCAACCCTATGCATTTCTTAAGTGTTGCTATTTCTTGATTATTTAAATTGATTTCCTGTCATTTTGAATCATTTATCACCTGCGATGCATGACTCTATTAATTTTGTTATGTTACTGTTTTAACCAAAGCTGACTGTAAGGATAAAACACTTAAATTGTTGCTGAGTACCGTATATCCTCAATATGCATGTCTGCCCATCACATCAACTGTTCTGTCAACAAGATGTTTGGTAATTTTTTTATTTTTTTTTTTTTGAGACAGAGTCTTGTTTTGTCACCAGGCGCCAGGCTGGAGTGCAGTGGTGCGATCTCGGCTCACCACAGCCTCCGATTCCGAGTTCAAGCTGTTCTCCTGCCTCAGCCTCCTGAGTAGCTGGGATTACAGGTGCAAACTGCCATGCCCAGCTAATTTTTGTATTTTTTAGTAGAGACGGTGTTTCACCATGTTGGCCAGGATGGTCTCGATCTCTTGACCTCGTGATCCACCCACCTCAGCCTTCCAAAGTGCTGGGATTACAGGCATGAGCCACTGTGCCCGGCTGGCAATTTTTTTTAAAAGGTTGGAAAATTAATTATGGAAGGTTGTATACCGTTTTTTTTTTTTTAAACCTAGCAGGCCAAAGGTTAATTGTAGTGATTTGTTTTTCACATGGAGATCTTTCTATGACCTAGTTAAGTTACGGCAATTCAGAATTAATTCACGTTACATAAAGAATTACTTCTTTTAAGCAAATGCTGAAACTACCAAACCAGTGGATGAAGACCGCTGAGAACTTTGCACATAATCATACAATCTTTTGAAAATATTTTGCAAATATGTGTTTAGACAATAAGATGGACTCGAATTTGACAAAATGATGTATTTAAATTTTTTATAAGTATTTTCTTTGTTACTTTCAAATTATATTGTGTTCTTGATATATGCTGTATATTTGTCATTGCATGTGTTTTTAATTTACATGAAAACATGAGTTAGGAGAAATTACAAGTTGAATGATAAAATACCTGTATGAGCTCTTAAGAAATAGTAATTCCAGATTGTGTAGGGGAAACAAATCTATGTTGTTTTGAAAGCATACTTTGTATAAGTTATGGGCAGAGGCACAGGCATCCTCAGCAGCTGATTTGGGAGATGATGGTAAAGCTAGCTAACTATGAATTCCATATTGACATATCCAGTCCACCTAGTCCAGTAATAATACAAGCAAATCTTGTATTTCAGGAACAAATCAAGGTTCTCTTAATTTTTTGGCTTGTATACAATGAGGTGAAACTTGATAACATGGTTTTAAATTAAGGAGGAGAGTCGTGGATGTGTGTTTTGATGTGTTTACCTTATAATTTTGCCTCTAGCCATATGCTATGTTTGCAAAATGTGGTATCCGTTAGTTTTCATCGTCTATATCTTCTTTGTTGACTATATCTGGGTAATTTTGTGTTACCCAAAAAATAAGGAAGCATAATGTGAGACACACAAGAAAAGAAAATCAATGTTGTGAGCTTAAAGTACAATTTCAAAGGTCATTACCAACGCATTTTTTATACTTTAAGAACATTATGCTACATATTGCCATCTTCATATTTTGCTACTCTTATACAATGAAATCAGTGAAAATGTTCCGCCACTGAATTGCCATTGTTATATCTAAAAAGTTTCTAAGATGACAGTTGTCACTGTTTTCTCCATGCTGACATTTGAAAGAAGATACTGGAAGGTCCTAGAATCTCTCTAGCCAGATTGCTCAGTTTTTCCTTGGTAATCAAACAGCAGTTGTATTAAAGGAAAGTAAAGCTAAGACCTAAATCAGAATCATAGTTGCCTGCATATATGGTAACAATGTTGTATGCATTTGCTTTCTCAGTGATGAGTAAGAGGATGAGGAGAAATTATTTGACTGACATTTTCCTGTGGTTGAATAGAAGACACCTTTCTTTTGTCTTTAGGTTTAGGAGAAGATACTAAGATACTGGATGTTTATTCTGTCTTAGTCTGATTGGAGTAATAAGAGAGAAGAAGAGGATGAACTTTGGCTTTTTCAGTGTTTTTTCCCCTAAAGGGTGATACTGCTGATGTTTCTATCAATTTTACACATAATATGTGGCTATGAAACCATATATCTCACTTAAGTAACTAAAAATCATTGTTTATTATTTAAAGCCAACAAAACAGTATAACAGTTTTAAGTTCAATAATGTTAAGTATTGTATAGAAATATATTGGAGGCAAAGTTCAGTTGATGACAATTGTGTATATGTTACTGATGCTGTAAATTATTTTTAATAAAGAAAATTGTATTATCACATTTGATTCTTGTTATATTTTGTAGTAGTGCGGGACAGGTGGAGGTGATTCACTCCTGTAATCCCAACACTTTGGGAAGTGAAGGCAGGAGGATCACTTGAAGTCAGGAATTTGACCCCACCCTGGAAAACATAGCAAGACCATATCTCCAAAAAAAAAATAGCGTGGTGTGGTGGTGTGCACCTGTAGTCCCAGCTACTTGGGAGGCTGAGGCAGGAGGATTGCTTGAGCCTAGTTTGAGGCTGCAGTGAGCTATGATTAGGCCACTGCTCTCCATCCTGGGTGACACAGCAAGGTCTTGTCGTGTGTTGTCACCATGAATTTTGTGTTTACGTGGTGTTAGCACTGAATTGTAAGCATTTTTTTTTTTTTTTCAGTATTTCCCTATCATTCTATTTATATGATCCGTGAAAGGATCACATTTTATTACCAATATTGGTAACTTGTGTTTTCTTATTTTTCTTGATCAGTCTTTCTGAGGGGTTAGAAATTGAATTAATTTTTTAAAGAGCCATTTTTTTTTTGAGATGGAGTCTCTGTCGCCAGGCTAGAGTGCAGCTGCACAATCTCGGCTCACTGCAACCTCCGCCTCCCAGGTTCAAGCGATTCTCCTACCTAAGCCTCCTGAGTAGTCTCAGCTACTCAGGCACGTGCCACCACACCCAGCTAACTTTTGCATTTTTAGTAGAAACGTGGTTTCACCATGTTGGCCAGGGTGGTCTCGATCTCTTGACCTTGTGATCTGCCTGTCTCGGCCTCCAAAAGTGCTGGGATTACAGGCGTGAGCCAGTGCACATGGCCAGAGAGCCAGTTTTTTTACATTACTTATTTTCTCCATTGTTTTCTGGTTTTGGGTTTTTTGTTTTTTTGAGATGGAGTCTCGCTCTGTTGCCCAGACTGGAGTACAGTGGTGCAATCTCGGCTTACTGCAACCTCCACCTCCCGGATTCAACTGATTCTCCTGCTTCAGCCTCCTGGATAGCCGGATTACAGGTGGGCGCCACCATGCCTGGCTAATATTTAGTTTTGTATTTTAGTAGAGACAGAGTTTCACCATGTTGGCCAGGCTGGTCTCAAACTCCTGACCTCAGGTGATTGGCCCTCCCCAGCCTCCTAAAGTGCTGGGGTTACAGGCGTGAGCCGCCACCAGCCTAGCCTGTTTCCTGTTTTATTGGTTTCTGCTCTTAAATATTTTCTTTGTTACTTAATTTCCTCCTTTCCCCCCAGCTTTGTAAAACTTTTTCTCCAATGTAAATGTAAATATTTAAATTTCCCTCTAAGCACTGCTTTAGCTGTAGCCCACTGTGGAGACTAAAGCCAACTTTGAACATTTTAAACAACTTGTAATATATAAAGGAAGCATCGTAAAGTTGCTGAGCCATTGTTTTATAATATAAAATCATCTCTATAATCTCAGTGTAAACTGTTCATTTTGTTTCACTCCAGTTTATCAGAGGTTTTTTTTTTTTTTAATTATAAAAATAGAGGTGGGGTCTCACTGTGTCGCCCAGGCTGGCCTTGAACACCTGGCCTCAATCAGTCCTCCCATCTCAGCCACCCAGACTGCTGGGATTACAGGCCTGAGCCACCGTGACCAGCCACTGAGCTGTCTTTGAGAGCCACTACTTAAAGTGGTCCAGTAGCCAACTGAAGAAGCATTAATACATTGTACTAAATAAATAAATGACTTTTTATTCCCTTTAGAGACGGATCTCACTATGTTGCCTAGGCTGTCCTCGAACTCCTGGGCTCAAGCACTTTTCCTGCCTGAGCCACCTGTAATAGCTGGGACTACAGACGTGAAGGCAACACCATGCCCAGCCTAAAATGACATATCTTGTACATTGGTGGAACTTTTAAAAATCGTGATAGCCAACGTTGGCATTATCGAGAGGAAAACAAGATTTGGCGACACGTATTAAGAGGCTTAGGCCGGGTGCAGTGGCTCATGCCTGTAATCCCAAGACTTGGCAAGGCTGAGGATCACTTAACCCAGGAGTTCAATACCAGCCTGGAAAGCATGGCGAAACCCATCTCTGCAAAAAATTAGCCGGGCGTTGTGGCGCATGCCTGTAGTCCCAGCTACTTGTGAAACAGGTGGGCGGATCCCTTGACCCCAAGAGGCAGAGGCTGCAGTGAGCCGAGATGATGCCACTGCATTCCTGGGCGACAGACTGAGACCCTGTCTTAAAAAAGCTTTAAAGGTGTTTATTCTCTTATACTTAGTAGTATGACGCTGAGCAGTTTAAACACGTCATTTAAAATTTACAAAAGATTTACGTATGAGGATATTTTTAAAAACAAGAAAATGCTCACTTAAAGTGAAAAAGGCGATTTACAAAGTACTTTTTGTTTTCTTTTTTGAGACGGAGTCTTGCTCTGTCGTCCAGGCTAGAGTGCAGTGGTGCAACCTCAGCTCTCTGCAACCTCTGCCTCCCAGGTTCAGTCAATTCTCCTGCCTCAGCCTCCTAGTAGCTAGGATTACAGGACTCACCACCACCCTCGGCTAATTTTTGTGTTTTTAGTAGCGTTGGGGTTTCACCATGTTGTCCAGGCGGCTCTCAAACTCCTGAGCTCAAGTAATCTGCCCCCATTGGCCTCCCAAAAAGCTGAGATGGTAGGGTGAGCCACCTCGCCCTACCAAATACAGTATTTCTAAAGAATTCAGGGAGCGTAAACAGGCACATTCCAAAAAGGGCAGTTGTGGATCCAGTAGCCGTGCCTCCAGTTATCACAATTTCCAGATTCAGTCTTAATTCCCATTCCCTGATGCAAGAGAAGTAGAAAAACACAGACCCGTAGAGGTGGAATGAGAGGCGGAAGTAATTGAGAAGCCGCTCGAGGGAAAAAGCACGCAGAGAGGCCTAAGGGAGCCGGATTCCAATTCTGATTACAGAAAATCCAAGTTGAAATCACTCTTTGACAATCTAAATGAATCAGATATTATGTTCCCCTGGGGTTGGGAGAAACAGTCCTGCTTTTTGGTGATTAGAAGTGAAGTTGGTAAGAACTGTATCTAAAGCAGGGGAAGAAGCCTCCCTCAGTAGGTGGTTGATACGAGTTTGGGAGTCATCCAAGTCAATCAGGGTGACTGTAGATAACCCGAGTGTGTGATATCCTGACAGAAAACAAAGGGTGGATGTGCATCGGCAAAAGCAAAATACAGACTAAGTTGCAGGCATGAGTGGACCAGTGCCCAGGACTCTCTTCCAGTAGCCTCCAGTAGATAGAGTGCTCCTACTTAGCGGGGAAGTCCTGCTTGGCTGGAGAAGGGCATCAAGTTGTATATCAGGGCCTCATGCCCTTGACAGTTAAGATCATCCAACTAACCTGGCTGTTACCGCATGAATCTCGTATAGCCTTCTGAAAATCATGGGGTCTCTGCGGACTTTACCGCAGAAAGAGAACCCACTGACTGCACTACCTACATAAAGAGTTTGACCCCATCACCAGTTATATTTCTCAGTGTAAATGAATCATTCATTCACAGGAGACCCGAACCGTGGTGACCCCAGCCCCCTGGAAAGTCTGTTGGAGGGGGCGGCTTCACTCTCCCTACACATCTATTATGTTGAATTAACTGGTTTAGGAAGAGAGGAGAAAACTAGTGCTGTGGCAAGAGTCTAAACAGAGCAGGGTGACCAGCGTCTGTTGAGGCTCTATGACCGCTAGGTTTCTCGTTTCCTGTCAGTACAAGGAGCTAGTATACCTACTGGATAAATAAGACCGTTCGGGGTTTTTGTTCTGTTTTGTTTTTTTGAGACGGAATCTCACTTTGTTACCTAGGCTAGAGTGCAGTGGCGCAGTCTGCTGACTGCAACCTCAGGACCGTTGCAGTTCCTAGGGGTGGGATGGGGTCGAGTCTCCCTGGGGCCACGTTTTCCAAAGGTGGCCTCCAGGATACATGCATCCAGCAGAAGGAGGGAAGGCTGGGAAACAAAAACGTGGATGTAGCTGAGCAGCTGTCAGTGTTACCACCACCTCTACGTGGACCCTGGGGAACTCCGAGGTGCCACTCAAGAGCCGGAAGCCCGCCCACTCGGGGGTGGGGCTGCAACCCAGAGAGCCAATCTGGAATAAGAAGCCAAGTTCCTGAAAACGTAGCCGGATTCTGACTGGAATACTTACCGTGAGAAGGCGGGGCAGGGTTACAGAAAGCCAATCAGAAACCCGATCTCGGAATTCCTGTTCGCAGCCTCCGAGGCGGGGCCGGGAAGAGGCCTGGTCTCCCGGCCGCGCCCCGCCTTCCCGTAGTCTGCGCTGACTGGGCGGCGGGGGACCCGGAGGAGCCAATCAGAAGTCAGGCTCGCGGGACTCGGAGGAGGGGCGTGGGCCCCGGGCCCTGCTCTATCTCGAGTGCAGGGCAGGGGCCGCAGTGCCTGGCTGCTGCAGAGCGGGATCCACCCCAGGACGTCGGGTCGCTGCCGGTGAGACGAGGAAGGGGGAGCAGAGACGAGCCCGCGGCCCCGCGGCGGGGATCGGGGGCGCCCTCGAGGGCAGGGAGGCTCGCTGCAGGTGTGGAGCCTGGAGTCCTGTGCCTCAGGCTCCCCCAGCTCCCCTCAGCTCGCTGCGGCCGTGACGGGCAAGCCACCCTCCTCCCCGGACCTCACCTGTACCAGGAGGGCAGGGCTGGGACCCCAGAATGAAGGCGTGGCACGGAGAGGCTGTCGAGGCCAGCCCCGCCCGGCAGATGTCTCCTGGGAGCAGTCTCAGCTCCACAGGACCTCAAGATAACGCTGCGAACCTGACTCACGCGCCCCCCTCCTCTCTTTCCTGCCTCTAGGTTCAGCAGTCCCTCCGCAGCCCGCTCACCCACCACTCTTTCCCCTTCGCCCACCGGGAAGGTGCATTAAAAGCACCTAGTAATGCACCGCTGTCTTTGCAAAACTGCGGATGCTAGATTCCCCGCCTTTCTGTTTGGTGATCCCCTTGGGATCCCCTTTCTGTTTCGTGAACCGCCCCGTGGGTCTGTGGAGTGAAGGTCACCCTTGGTTCATCATTTAATATTAAATAAGGGACTAGCTTAGGGGCTGAGAATACGGAGATTGACTGGGTATAATCCCTTGGAGGGACACAGCAAAAGGGAATGTAGGAGAAGAAAGGTGAAGTTGGAAGGCATGCTAAGGTAGAATTTACCAGACTTTATTACACATTGGGAGTGAGGGACAGGAAAGAATCAGGAATGACTCCTGTTTCTTGTCTGGTATACCTTGCACAAAGTACAGAGTCTAAGGTCCAGTCCCCCTGGCTGTAGGACAAAGGTGGTGAGATTCTTGTGCAGACACTTGGAGTTGCAAAACACTTGCTTCCTGCGGGCTTTTTTTAGGAGCTAAAATACTGTTGGCTGGATATACAGACCAACGACCTATAGGACCTGAATTCCTCCTCTCCCTTTGAATGAAGTAGGAAAAAAAATTAATTTTTTAAAATGCGTGAGTGGACAACATAGTGAGACACTGTCTCTTTAAAGAAAGAAAAAGAAAAAAAGGACAGGCACGATGGCTTGCACCTGTAATCCTAGCACTTTGGGAGACCAAGGTAGGAGGATTGCTTGAGCCCAGAAGTTTGGGACCAGCCTTGGCAACATAGCAGGATCCTGTCTCTTCAAAAAGTTAAAAAAAAAAAAAAAAAAAAACCCAGGCATGGTGGCACCTGCCTGCAGTCCCAGGTACTTGGGAAGCTGAGGTGGGAGGATCCCTTGAGCCTAGGAGTTGGAAGCTGCAGTGAGCCATGATGAGGCCACTGTACTCCAGCCTGGGTGACAGAGTGACACACCCTGTCTAAAAAAAAAAAAAGAATCCCCTTTATACAGAGGAGACGTTTGATGAAGAAGACAGACATGTCTGATAAACATATTTTTTCTTTGTTTTTATTTCAGGAGTTGACTTGATCTGTGCTATTAGTTCTATGATTTGGAGTCCTTGTTTAAAGAAAAAAAGGCAAACTTAAAGAACTTTAGAGGCACGGAATACTAGAGCTAGAGGGGACTTGTGGTAATCATCTAGTGCAACTTGGTTTTAGAGGAGACATGACTAGTCCGCAAGTTTCAGAGGTTAGGTAGTGGAGCTGGGACTAAAATATGTCCTATTTCTCCCAACACAACTTTTTATCACGTAAGTCTCTTTGGATGGCCAGCCCTAACAACCTTCCTGTTACACAGCTGTGGAAAACAGAGCTCTCCAAACAGGAGCTTAACAAGTCAAAGATTTTATGGGAACATCTGGACTAGAAAGGAAATTGGTTTTCACCCGTTGCCTCTAAGTTTCCTTCCAACTTTAAGAACTTACAATTCATGTCAAATTCGGAATTGTTCTGACATCTTTAACGCTTTGGGACTTGAAAATGACTCCAGGATTTCATCTTGGAGTTAATGCTTCAATTCATATTACATTCTGAATACTTGCCATATATGAGTTTACATATCTCCAGAAGAAATGTTCAAATTCCAGCCAGCACAGTGGCTCACGCCTGTAATCCCAACTCTGGGAGGCCGAGGTGGGTGGATCACAAGGTCAAGATACCCAGACCATCCTGGCCAACATGGCGAAACTCCGTCTCTATTAGTAAAAAATACAAAAATTAGCTGGATGTGGTGGTGCGCTCCTGTAGTCCCAGCTACTTGGGAGGCTGAGGCAGGAGAATCACTTAAACCTGGGAGGCAGAGGTTGCAGTGAGCCGAGATCACCATGGCACTTCAGCCTGGTGACAGAGCAAGTCTCTGTCTCAAAAAAAAAAAAAAAAAAAAAAAAAAAGATAAATTCCTTGTAAAGTTTCAAGCCTAATAAATACAGTGTGATAGGATATGTTGGTTCCCAGAAGTTTCAAGTGCAAAGATTGTTTTGAAACTCCATTTAGGCTTTGTCACAATATCTTCAGTGAACAAAATCAGAATGGCTCAACTTGCTCTGAAAGCAAATGCCTGGTTAGAAAGTAAACAGGAAATGTGATTGTCAAGAATGCACTGACTTGTAATAACAGGTAATGGAAACCGACCAGTGACACAGCTATGCAAGTTTAGAGGCTGGAGCAATCACTTTGGGTAGGAGGATCAGGGAAGGCCCATGTGAGGGGGAAGTGGTTAGCATTTGAGGTTTACCTTTCCCTTATTTTCTTTATCTTTCTTTTTTTTTTTTTTTTTTTTTTTTGAGATTGAGTTTCACTCTTTCACCCATGCTGGAGTAGTAAAGTAATGCAGTCTTGTCTCACTGCAGCCTCCACCCTGTACCACTTCCCAAGCCCCCCCACACCATTTCCAGTGATTCTCTTGCCTTAGCCTCCTGAGTAGCTGGGATTACAGGCACCTGCCACCACACCCAGCTAATTTTTTTTTTTAATTTTTAGTAGAAATGGGGTTTTGCCATGTTGGCCAGGCTGGTCTCAAACTCCTGACCTCAGGTGATCCATCCACCTCGGCCTCCCAAAGTGATGGAATTATAGGCATGAGCCACTATGCTTGACCTACCCTTAACTTGAGTCGTTAGGCTATAGTCCTGGGACTGAGGCAGGGAGGGGGTCATACATTACTGGTGTATCTCCCTGAAAGTTATCCCCTTTCCCTCACTGGAATTAGGTGGGTTTTTGCTGTGACAGAGCCAAAGAAATTAGGCATTAACAGGCATATGGTCTGATTTTTGGGAGTTCTAAGAAAGTCCTAAGATTCACCTCCCTTGTTCTAGCCAATTTCTCAGAAGGGTTCTTTCTTTTTAAAAGGTAAGTTGATATTCACAGATCTTACTAGTTCATTTAAGTTTTGACAAATGTAAGCCATGTAACCAAAGCCTAATCAAAAGATAGAAAACTTGCCTCTCAGAAAGTTCTCTCATGTCCCTTCTCCGTCAGAAGGAACAGATCTTCCATTTTCCACAAAAGCTAACCATTCATTCCTTCATTCATTTCTAGTAGAGAAGGGATCTCGTTATATTGCCCAGACAAGTCTTGAACTCCTGGCCTTGAGCAATTCTCCCACCGTGGCCTCCCAAAGTGCTGGCTAGGATTACAGGTATGAGCCACTGTGCCCAGCCTATAGATTCTTTTTATATAATACTGCGTCTCCTGAACAGCAATCAAAACATACCCTACAATGCAATTCACCCTCAAGATGTTATCAATTATTTACAACTCAGTATGAAAGAACGATTAGAACAAAACTATTTTGGGAAAACAAAATGAGATTGTAAGGACCTTAAATATTTGGGTTCTTGAAGGATGTTCAGAAACGCTACATTCTCTTTCGTATGTACCTGGATGCTCAGGAAATACACCACATATGGGTAGCACAGGGTGGAATTACCACGTGAAAGAAAACAGTCTCCTCCCTCCCCTATGTATCCAAATCATACTTGAAAATTCAAGGCCCAGTGTGGTGGCTCATGCCTGTAATCCTAGCACTTTGGGAGGCTGAGGCGGGCAGATCGCTTGAGCTCAGAAGTTTAAGACCAGCCTGGTCAACATGATGAAAGCCTGTCTCTGCAAAAAATACAAAAAATTAGCTTGGTGTGGTGGCCTGCTCTTGTATTCCCAGCTACCCAGGAGGCTGAGGTTCAGGATCGCTGAGCCTGGTGGTTGAGGTGGCAGTGAGCCATGATCACACTACTGCACTCCAGTCTAGGTGGCAGAGCAAGACCTGGCTTCAAAAAAAAGAAATTCAACTCAGGCCAGGTCCAGTGGCTCACACCTGTAATCCTAACACTTTGGGAGGCTGAAGTGGGAATATCGCTTGAGGCCAGGAGTTCGAGACCAAGCTGGGCAAAAAAGTGAGACCCCCCGATCTCTATCTTTAAAAAAAAAAAAAAAAATCAAATCTGCCTTCTCAAGGATGTCTTTCCTTAGGCTGTAGTAATTTCTCTCCCTCTCTGTCACAATTTTGGCAGATATTAATTTCATCGGTCACAAACTCAAATGTAACTTTATTTGTAACTGACCTTAATTTTAAGCCCCTAGTCCTCTTAGCAGTGGGAAGCATATTCTTTATGCTTTTTTACAATTTAATGTAAACTCGGTCACTTCAGTGTTAATTCAGTCGTTTCAGGTTAATACAGTTAATAGAGGTTTTCACTGGTTCTGTGGCCTTAATCTCCTCCAGTGACTCATACAATACTTTGCTCATGCATCTCCATTTTTATCTTTGAAATATATGTTATAAATTAGATGATGATCCTTATAATTTAACCAAACTGTGACTATAAAAGATCACTGTATTTATTGTTTAACCTAAAATGGTAGGAATATAGTCAAAAGGACATAATCATGGATTAGAAGTCTGGAGAGCTGAATTGTTTTTTTGTGTGTGTGACGGAGTCTCACTCTGTTGCCCAGGCTGGAGTGTGCTGGTGTGATCTCAGCTCACTGCAACCTCTGCCTTCCAGGTTCAAGTGATTCTCCTGCCTCAGCCTCCCGATTAGCTACGATTACAGGTGCCCACCACCAGGCCTGGCCAATTTTTGTATTATTAGTAGAGACGAGGTTTCACCACGTTGGCCAGGCTGGTCTCGAACTCCTTTCTCCAGGCGATCTGCCTGCCTCCGCCTCCCAACGTGCTGCGATTACAGGCTTGAACCACCATGCGCAGCCCAAGAGCTGAATTCTTACTGTGACTTAATATGTAACTTTGGGCAAGTCACTTAACTTCTCAGGACCAAATTTTCCCCTATAAAATTGATGATGAGGAGGAGAGGTTGTATGAGGTGATACCAAGTGCTTTCCTGGTCTGCGTTTAGGAGGTGAGTTTAATAATTTGTCCTATAAGAATTTGTATTCACTTGCCAAAACACCTTTTTTTTTTTTTTTTGAGACAGAGTTTGGCTCTTGTTGGCCAGGCTGGAGTGCAATGGCATGATCTAGGCTCACCACAACCTCCACCTCCCGGGTTTCAAGCAGTTCTCCTGCCTCAACCTCCTGCGTAGCTGAAATTACAGCATGCACCACCATGCCGGCTAATTTTGTATTTTTAGTAGAGATGGGGGTTTTTCTATATTGGTCTCGAATTAGCAAGTTTAGGTGATCCACCCAGCTTGGCCTCCCAAAGTGCTGGGATTACAGGCGTGAGCCACCGTCCCCAGCCCAAAACATCTACTTCTTGATCTCATTCACTGATTTGATTTTTTTTTAACTTTATGAGTACAACTGAATAATCAAAAGAAGTACAGAATCCATAGAAACATTATTGGTCTGCCTTGAGAAAAATCATTTAAATAAATATATTCATCCTATATCCCCTTTCTGTTTGTTGCTTTTTGTTCCCCTAGACATAATGTCAAGTGGAAATGATCTGCAGTCAGAGGCTCTTAGTAAACCCACTTTCAGTGAGGAACAAGCTTCTGCGCTAGTGGAGTCAGTGTTCGGGCTGAAAGTTTCCAAGGTCCAGCCACTTCCTGGCTATGACGACCAAAACTTTCATGTCTACGTCACAAAAACCAAAGACGGCCCAACTGAATACGTCCTCAAAATAAGCAACACCGAGACTAGCAAGAATCCAGACCTGATTGAAGTGCAGAATCACATTGTCATGTTTCTGAAAGCAGCTGGATTTCCAACAGCCTCTGTGTGTCGCACTAAAGGAGACAACACAACTTCGCTTGTGTCTGTAGGTAAGCAACGACCGATTGCTGATCATCTCCTGTCCGTACACCACTGCATTTGGCCACAAGTAGAACCATGGAGAGCAGCTTCATAATTCCAAGTGTAGATGTGGTTATTATTTTTTTTAGCAACCTCAATAGTACACCTTTAGAGGTGTTGAGTTTTTCAGTATGAGGAGAAGCCACAGCAGTGAGTATTGGTTAGAGCCCAGTTTTAAGTTTTCTGTTCAGAAAGGCCCTGACAGTCACTAAGGGGACCTGTGGAAATCAGGGGAACATTTTTTGTTTTGCTTTTTGTCTGTTTTGTTGGTGGTGGTTTTGGGGGTTTTCTTTTTGTTTTTTGTTTGTTTGTTTATTTTTTGAGACAGCTTCTCACTCTATCACCGAGACTGGAGTGCAGTGGCGCAGTTACAGCTCACTGCAGCCTTGACCTCCTGGGCTCAGGTGATCCTCCCACTTCAGCCTCCTGAGTAGCTGGGACTACAGGCACATGACACCATGCCCAGCTAATTTTGTAGTGTTTTTGTAGAGACGGAGTTTTGCCATGTTTCTCCGGCTGGTCTTGAACTCCTGCCCTCAAGTGATCTGCCTGCTTTCCAAAGTGCTGGGATTACAGGCATGAGTCACTATTCCTGGCCTGTTTTTATTTAAAAATAAATAAATAAATAAATAAATAAATAAAAATAATAAAATATATTTATTACTTAGAGAAGCTATACATTCTGGTGCTGTGGTATAGTAAAAATGGCATAATACTGGAAATCAAGAATTTTAGATTTTAGCTTTGTCATTACTGTATATGTGACCTTCAACACACAGACCACTTAAATCCCTAAGGCCGCCAGTCCACATCTGTGAGACAGTCCCTTTCACCTTTAAATACCAAAATGCTAAGATGTGCCGAATTCAGCTCTTTAAAACGGCAGGCTAAAATCAATTTCTTCAAGTTTTGTAAAGGTTTGAATCTTGATTTTCTTTTTCTGTCCTCATTGTTCACCATTCTTTCTTAATTTGCATTGCCCCAAACACCTGAGGCTCATTTCGGTCCCTGAGACGTAGTTATTGTCCTGTGTTGCAAACACAGGCTGTCCCAGAATTTACCTCTGAAGAAGCCTGATTCTGGAAGTCATTGATTTGTACCTCACCTCTGTCAACTGTGAACTTATAAAAGAGTATGTATTTTTGCATTCACCTACCACAGTAGGTAATTTTTGTGTAGAGCTAAGGCCAGCAGAGTTAGGGCTATAATTTTGTTGGTATGTAAATGGCCAATTCCAGCGTTCTTCAGGTTTGTGTATCCCACCTTCTCACTTGATCTGCTCAACTCTGCCTCATAGAATCCTGCCAAGTTGTTTCAGGTTAGCACATTTTTTTGCTTTGTTTTTTAATTTCTGTTCTTTTTTTTTTTTTTTTTTTGAGACGGAGTTTCACTCTTGTTACCCAGGCTGGAGTGCAATGGCGCGATCTCAGCTCACTGCAACCTCCGTCTCCTGGGTTCAGGCAATTCTCCTGCCTCAGCCTCCCGAGTAGCTGGGATTACAGGCACGTGCCACCATGCCCAGCTAATTTTTTGTAGTTTTAGTAGAGACGGGGTTTCACCGTGTTGACCAGGATGGTCTCGATCTCTTGACCTCGTGATCCACCCGCCTCGGCCTCCCAAAGTGCTGGGATTACAGGCTTGAGCCACCGCGCCTGGCCCTTAATTTCTGTTCTTTTCAGTAATACTTGCAAAGGCAGAATAGCTTCTAATTCTATTACATCTAATTATCTACCTATCTATATATATTTAGAATAATTGACAGGATATTTCATTTCATCCATTTAGATAGTGGCTCTGAAATCAAAAACTACTTGGTGAGGCTGCTGACTTACCTCCCAGGAAGACCCATCGCTGAGATTCCCATCAGCCCCCAGCTATTGTATGAAATTGGAAAGCTAGCTGCCAACTTGGATAAGACACTGGAGGTAAGATTTGGGGTTTTATTTTATTCTAAGGGATATTGGTTTGTTTGTTATTTTATTTGTAAAATAAACTAAGAATCAGATTCTCTTTTTATGTATGGTGTTCTACCTAAGGTACATTATGAAGGGAATGGAGAGGGAATGGAGTTCTAGAATGCATAAATTTTATGACAATAAGGCTAACTTCTGCCTAACTCTTACTGGTGTGGGCTGGGTGCAATGGTCCACACCTGTAATCTCAGCACTTTGGGAGGCTGAAGCAGAGGGATCACTTGAGGCCAGGAGTTTGAGACCAGCCTGGCCAACATAGTGAAACCTTGCCTCTTCTAAAAACTACAGTAATTTAGGGCATGGTGATGTATGCCTGTAGTCTCAGTTACTCGGGAGACTGAGGCAGGAGAATCGTTTGAGCCCAGGAGGTAGAGGTTGCAGTGAACCGAGATCACACCACTACACTCCAGTCTGCACAACAGAGCAACACTGTCTCCAAAATTTTTTTAAATTAAAAAATAAATATATCTTACTAGTGTATTGGGAAGATTACCTAAATTTTTAGAAATTCATCCTATTCTTTATGCTGCTCACTGAAAACAGTCAATATTCACCAATGGAAACCTGAAGATTTCATCCAGACAGAGTATAATCAGCTGGAGCTCCATATGAAGCAATAGCTAAGTTGCAAATGAATTAATAAAGTGCATCAAGGATGTTTTTGTCCTATAGAAACAATATAATGTATGACAGGCACCTTTTAGACCTGCCCATAAAACATCTTCATTTATTCAATAAATATTGTGAGTACCTTTAATGTTATTTTTTAAATCATAGGAAAAAGGAGATGTATTTACTATTTATTAAGTGGAAATGGATCATCATAAAGGTCTTCGCTGTCATCTTCACTTTGAGTGGGCTGAGGAGGAGGAAGAGAAGGGGTTGGTCTTTTATTTATTTATTTATTTATTTTTGAGACAGGGTCTCACTCTGTCTCCCAGGCTGGAGTGCAGTGGTGCAGTCACAGCTTAATGCAGACTTAACTTCTCAGGCTTAACCAATCCTCCCGCCTCAGCCTCCCAGGTAGCGGGGACTACAGGAGAGTACCACCACACCTACCTAATTTTTGTATTTTTTGTAGAGACAGAGCTTTACCATGTTGCCCAGGCTGGTCTCAAACTCTTGAGCTCAAGCAATCTTCCTGCCTTCGCCTCCCAAAGTGCTGGGACTACAGGTATGAGCTACCCCATGTCTAGCCAGGGGTTTGGTCTTTGTATTGGGCCATTCTCACACTGCTATAAAGAAATACCTGAGGCTGGGCACAGTGGCTCATGCCTGTCATCCCAGCACTTTGGGAGGCTGAGATGGGTGGATCACCTGAGGTCAGGAGTTCGAGACCAGCCTGACCAACAAGGAGAAACCACATCTCTACTAAAAATACAAAATGAGCTGGGCATGGTGGCGCATGCCTGTAATCCCAGCTAACTCTGGAGGCTGAGGCAGGAGAATTGCTTGATTCTGGGGGGCAGAGGTTGTGGCGAGTGGCAATCACACCATTGCACTCCAGCCTGGGCAACAAGAGCGAAACTGCATCTAAAAAAAAAAAAAAAAAGAAAAAGAAAAGAAATACCTGACACTGGTCGTCATTTATAAAGTAAAGAGGTTTAGGTCAGGTGTGGTGGCTCACGCCTGTAATCCCTGCACTTTGGGAGGCCAAAGCAGGAGGATAACTTGAGGCCAGGAGTTTGGGACCAGCCTAGGTAACATGGTGAAACCTTGTCTTTACTAAAAATACAAAAAATTATCTTGGTGTGGCAGTGCTTGCCACTTGGGAGGCTGAGGTGGGAGGGAGGATCACCTGAGCCCAGGAGGTTGAGGCTGCAGTGAGTTGTCGTCACGCCACTGCACTCCAGCTTGGGTGACAGGGCAAGACTCTGTCTCAAAAAAAAAGAAAGGAAAGAAGAAAGACATTGCTCCACTTTTGCTTGCATTATTTCTCTTTTCTTTCCTTAATTTTCCAGACAGCATTTCCATCGGTTGCCCAGGCTGGAGTGCAGTGGCATGACCTCTGCTTCCTCGGGCTCACTGCTTGCATGCATTCTTTCGTTTTTTTGTTTTTTTTTTTTGAGTCGGGAGTTTCGCTCTTGTTACCCAGGCTGGAGTGCAATGGCGCAATCTCGGCTCACCACAACTTCCGCCTCCTGGGTTCAGGCAATTCTCCTGCCTCAGCCTCCTGAGTAGCTGGGACTACAGGCACGCGCCACCATGCCCAGCTAATTTTTTGTAGTTTTAGTAGAGATGGGGTTTCACCATGTTGACCAGGATGGTCTCCATCTCTTGACCTCGTGACCCACCCACCTCGGCCTCCCAAAGTGCTGGGATTACAGGCTTGAGCCACCGCGCCCGGCCTGCTTGCGTTATTTCTAACAGGAAATCTGCCATCAGATTGTTCCTCTGAATATAATAGATCTTTTGTATGTGTGTGGCTGCTTTTAAGACTTTCTCTTTTGAGGCTGGGTGCAGTGGTTCATGCCTGTAATTCCAGCACTTTGGAAGGCTGAGATGGGCAGATCACTTGAGGTCAGGAGTTCCAGAGCAGCCTGGCCAACATGAAAAACCCTGTCTCTACTAAAATACAAAAATTAGCTGGGCATGGTGGTGCACGCCTGTAGTCCCAGCCCAGGCAGGAGAATCACTTGAACTCAGGAGGCGGAGGTTGCAGTGAGCCGAGATCGCACCATGGCACTCCAATCTGGTCAACAGAAAGACTCCATCTCAAAAAAAAAAAAAAAAAAATCTGTTTATCTCTAGTTTTGAGCAGTTGATAAGGCGTGACTTTGTACAGTTTTCTTCATGTTTCTTATGCTTGGGATTCCTGGGATTCCTTGAGTGGATGTAGTGAAATTACCAGGAAGCAATTTGATCCTTTGGGGTCGTGCTTTTACTACTTGATAGATGGGACCGAGGATCAATTTACTACTGATCCAAATCCTTCAGTGTCTTGTGAACTGTAAGGTTTTCCAGTGTGGATGGTAGGAACAGGCGCTTTTCCTGGCCCTGTGCATGCCATGTACTCTTGCCCCTAATCCTTTCAGGCGGTTCTCTCCCCAGTTTTGAGTAGTTTCCCCACATTTACACATGGATCATACACAATCTGCTAAATTCTCAAGGGGGACGTAACGCAGCTCTTCCATCTCTGGTAATCTGCCATGCAAACTCAAGCTGCCATGGTCTCCTGGGACTCTCAGCTCTACCTCCTCAACTCAGTCCTCTGAGCACCACCTAGGTCTTCCCTCTTTGTACTGCATCCTCTGTCAAGGCAGTGAGCTTGGGTGAACTCCCCTTGTTTATTTTATTTTATCTTATTTTTTGAGACAAGGTCTTACTCTGTCGCCCGGGCTGGAGTGCAGTGGCGCCGTCTCAGCCCATCGCAACCTCTACCTCCCAGGCCCAAGTGATTCTCCTGCCTCAGCCTCCTGCGTAGCTAGGATAACAGGCACGCCCCACCACCGCACAGCTAAATTTTTTTGTATTTTTAGTAGAGACAGGGTTTTACCACGTTGGCCAGGCTGGTCTTGAACTCCTGACCTCAAATGATCCACCCGCCTCGGCCTCCCAAAGTGCTGGGGTTATGGCACGAGCCACTGCACCTGGGCCCCTTGTTTGTTTTCATTTTCTCAGGGATCACTGTTTTTCATTCCCCAACATCTAATAACTTGAAAACCAGTGTTTAATATATTTTGTCCACTGTTTTTGCTTTTTCTGGCAGGAGGGTCAACCTCCCATTACACCCCTCTTGGCCAAAAACTGAAGATCATCTTGCAGTGTAAATAGTATTCATTTACCCTTAGATCCTCAAATAGAAATCCTGTAACCTTTTTTTCTGATTAAAAAATCCTTCTGTGGTTCATTATTTAAAGAAAACCAGATAAAAATACAAAGAAAAATGAAGTTGCCAATCATCTCATCCTCCAGGGATGACATTCTCTGACCCATTTAGCCATGTGCCATACGATTCTACAGCCCAGGGACATACTTGGTGCTCAGCAAATGTTTATAAACCCACAGACCTTTTCCTATACTTACAATAATCACCATTTTATATTTTACTCTGTTCATTTATTCAACAAATATTTATTGAGCTTCTGCAAGGGTTTGGGTGGTAAACATATTAAGCATTTCAGCTGAAATAGTTTTCAATTAAGTTTGAGCAAATTCTTTTATGGATTTGCGTTAAAATGTCCGTTTGTTCATATTAATATAATTCGGATTTAAATAGTTACAATTAAATTTATTTTTGGGAAATTTTCTTCACATATTAATTTTATTTATTTATTTTTGAGATGGAGTCTCACTCTGTTGGCAGCTGGAGTGCAGTGGTGCGATCTCAGCTCACTGCAACCTCTGCCTCATGGGTTCAAGCGATTCTCCTGCCTCAGCCTCCCGAGTAGCTGGGACTACAGGTGCACGCCACCATGCCCAGCTAATTATTTTTGTATTTTTAGTAGAGACGGGGTTTCACCATGTTGGCCAGGATGGTGTCGATCTTATGACCTTGTGGTCTGCCTGCCTTAGCCTCCCAAAGTGCTGGGATTACAGGCATGAGCCACTGTGCCTGGCCCACATGTTAATTTTATTTAGAAAAACCTTTGAACTGGGCCAGGTGCGGGGGCTCATGCCTATAATCCCAGCACTTTGAGAGGCCAAGGTGGGCAGATCACATGCAGTTAGGAGTTTGAGACCAGCCTAGTCAACATAGTGAAACCCCATCTCTACTAAAAATACAAAAATTATCAGGGCGTGGTGGCAGTCACCTGCAATCCCAGCTACTTGGGAGGCTAAGGCAAGAAGAATCACTTGAACCCAGGAGGCGGAGGTTGCAGTGAGGCAAGATCATGCCACTGCATCCAGCCTGGGCAAAAGAGCAAGACTCCATCTCAAAACAAACAAACAAACAACAACAAAAACTTGGACGTGACTGTAGTGCTCAGTAAACTCCGTCTACCTTAAAC